TGGGAACAAGTGTCACAGGAGTGATGCATTGTGGCAGTCTTGCAGTTATTTTGTTTTTAGACCGACGAATCCTGAATGAATGTTTAGACCCTTCGTTCGTTCAAGTGTATCAATACGAAACGCGACTTGTACCTCTAACATATCACGCATTATTTTCTAAATTAGATCGAGTCAGTGGCGTATTTGTAAGTGAGATAAGAGGGAATATAAGATTTGATGTACTATTCTATCAAATCTCTTTTGGATTATAATTTTTTTAATTCACCAACATAGGGGCTAGAAAATATTTTGCTGGGTCAATCCAACCAAGTTAGTTCATCTGCACAGCACGACAACTAATTACATTTTACTCGCCCAAAATATTTGACGTGCAAGTGTTGAACAGAATGATTTTGTGACACTCGCTTGCCATGCATTCATAGATATATGCATCCACTTGTGAAAATAATACGCTGTTTCCTGCACTTATCCCAGTTGAAAAAGAGATTTCTTACGTAGTGAATTAATTTGGCGTAGAAGCAAGAATTATTTTGAGCATTGTGTGTAGAGCCAAAACAATAATGATGCTTTTAGAAATTATTCCACTCCTTTGTAATTATTTATCAACTCACTGATCTTTCATTTATAAATGACGTAGCGAGGTTTGCTTGATGCATTAACTTGACTCGTTGTCTCGTTCAAAGGTCCTTCTTATGATTGCCTTTCAGCCACGTACGTGCCAGATAATGTTGTGTTCATGAAGGCATAAAAGTACCTACCATTCGAGGCTCTAAGCCCCGAGTTGAACCTGTGTTTTTTATTCGCGCATTACTATTCATCAGATGCTATTGCTGCACGGCTCCAACTGCTGCCTCCTTCCCACTGCAATTGCTGATTCCAAATCTGAAAGTCGACCATGAAGCACACCTAAATCATCGTTGCAAGTTAGAAGTCACACATGCGTTCATGGTAGTCAGCTAAACGAATCAAAGTGGTAAGTGGCGTCTCGAAATAGGTTATTTGAAGGCTACCTCACAATAGCTGGATGGCCATTTGGAGGTGTTACTACGCGTTACTAATCATAGAGCGGCATCGGCTGCGGAGCTTTGATGAGGCTCGCTCCGATCCCACTGCCCGCGGGAGGCTTGCTAACAAGACAGCTCTCTGGCCAGCGCTAGAAAAGGCTCGGCACTTCGCAAGACAACCTACAAATGATTGGGGGATGTGCTCGCTATCAAGATATAGCCGACTCTGTAAGTGCTCAGCGCTATATGGCGCTTCAAACGATCCCAGCGTCATGTGCGTCTCTCAAGAATTTCCTTCTATGCATTCGGGCAATTCCACCATCTCTAAGGAATTCGTATGATCTAAACGTTTCTGCAATTATGTCATAATTTATGATCCGCAATTTAAATATATCATACGTAGAAGGCTCGGAAGGACTTCATCGAACAGCTGAAGCTTCGAATAGAGAGCATGCACAAAATTTCCGTTAAGGTCCACCCGTCAATATTTGTCATGCCTATTAAATGACTTGAATAAAGCCTATGATTACATGTTTTTAACATCAAAAGAATTCTAGCTTTTTCTACTTTAATGTTAATGTTCAACATTCGAGATGATAAGAAGAACCGTTTTATCATTTCAATTTTAAGGTGTGGTGCAGACTTTGATACAACGATGGCCGAGTTTTGAGTTCCATAAGAGTGTAGAGCTTCCATGTTCAATTCACAACTGGTCGTCCTTTGCAATTTCAACGCGTAGCGCATGGCGGTGATAACAAAACTCGGAATGGACGACAATAAAAGCAAGTTGAAAAATTTCGCTTGAAATTCATTCCCAAACAATTTATTCGTATTCGACTCCTTCTTTTTCTCAACCATTTTTTATTTTCTTGTTCGTGTATTATTTAGTTCTGCAAAGTACCTGTGTAAAGTGCTTTCGCATCGCTTGAACTGTTAAGGAAAATATTACAGTGTGTTAACTTCCGTTGTGCGGTTGCCGTATTATCATTGGGATAACCCATGAGGATTTTGCTCTCTGCTGATAATGTTTGCTGTGCCCGCTTTATTGACTTTTCCTGGAACCGGGATTATGCGTTCAGCTTCCCGTTCAGTGCAGCGTATCTGCTGCTGATAAGTCGCTCCCTACCGATAGTGTAGTCTTGCTTTCTGCTTATTTCATTTTAAGGTTCAATAATTTTTCTTAAACTTCTTTAGTATGATTTCTTTCTTTCTTACTTCAGAATATATGTCACAATTGCCTTGATACGCATTTGTCTATTGCCATTGATTAGTTATGCCATAAATTTCGTTGACGTGTAATATATTTTATTCATATCGGCATTAAACTTGGTTAACTTGTTAGTACTTGAATTGAGATTGGCATACAGTTGATGATAGATTTAGGTTTATCGATGTAAGGCTAGTTTAATTGGTTTCAAAATAAATATTTTCTATATGATTGAGGAATTCTTGTAGCACAAACACTTTGTTGAGGTTCTTCTTGTCGTGATTAATTCTTCATTCGTACATTAGAAAAAATATTATTATACGTACCTATTTTCAATATTTCATCGCAACTAGGGCGCAACCGTGAGAATTTCCCGTGTTGTTGCAAAAATAATCAGCCTCGATAAAATTATTTTGGAAAATCGTTAATATAACCCAGATTTGAATAATTGGTATTTGGTCAGTTGTAATATTTTAGCGCAATGTCTGGGTATACCGAGTGCCGTACTCGCCGTGCCTGCTTACCGCCCTGGCAAATGGCCAGAGCTGGTAAGGTGGCGCCATCTCGCGTCTCCGTGGCGACGGTGGAATGTTATGGTTCGGCCCTTAGGGAGGGTGGGGTGTAGCTCTGCCATGCCCTTGCTCATCGTTCTAACTCGTTTCTTAATGTATTTACCAATTCATGGTAAAAAATATTTTTTTTGTTATAGTACAGCCCTCTTTTATGTCAGATTTTCCTCGCTGTAATCGCTAGTACGTTGCGTTAATTCGATAATATGCTTATGTCTTATGATAAGACACTTCGGCGATGCTGACTGAGGTTTTCTGTTCTTCACCGCAGGTTAGCTGTCATTTAATTCAAGGTTCATCTGTTTATATTTATTATTATTACATGGTGACAAAGCAGAGTTTTTAGCCTCTTCTTCAAGTTCAATTTTGAGTCCTATGATAATGAGACCAGTGAAGTATCATGGATACCAGACCTAATATTATAAGATATTGGTTTAAATTTAGAGTAGGTTTAGGTAGGCTAAATTAAAAAAGAAAAATGATAAATCTAAAAAAGCTCTGAGTTTATCACAGATGTTTAGGTATTCTGTTTCTGTTCTAAAAAAAATTTAATTTATTCATAAAGGTAAAAAAACAAAGATGCTTCATTCATTTGGTATGAAAATTTTAATAGTGACTTCTGACTTATGACTAGGCTAGGCTAATCTTTTTTTTTCTAATACTAAAAGAGAGTGAGAGTCTTATATCTAGTTAGCCTATATTCATGATGAAATAAGTTTTTGATGCAAGTCTCATTAGATTTAATTCATGTAGAGCAGACTTAGGCCTATATAAAATTTGTAGGTGAAAATTATCTTTTCATATGAGATTTATAGAAATTGCCAGCTGGAATTTGCTTTCAGCTTTGTAGATTTGTCAGCATGTGGAAATTATTAGGCAGCACTCCGCAGCAGTGATGAGCATGTCTGGAAATTCTTAATGACAGATTTTTTTAATTACCATATCAGTTCATTTCTAATAATTCTATAATCAAGTTTAAAATTGTATTCAGTATCTATGTGATGGTGATGATATCTATGATATAGTACTTGAATAGTCCACACTTAGGACTCAGAACGGAGGAGCCTAAAAAGGTTTCTGCTCTGCCTGGTTTGTCACCATGTAGTAGAATTATCCTTCATCATGGCTTCATTAGCATTTTAGTGCTGACCATTTTTGCTCCTCCAGTCCTCCACTTGCAGTTTCTCCTCAATTTTCAATATGTGCTGCACTGCTGCACAGCCTGCACTTGCTTAATTTTGTAGCATACTATCATCTATAATAGGCCTATAATTAACATCAAAGTCGGCACTCGGCACTGCACACTGCTTGCTGTCATTAATCAAATATTATATTTTGCTGGTTAAATGAAACCATTTTCACTTTTTTTAAGAATTTTTATGTACCTAATCTTGATATTCCTAATTTTTTTATCTATTATATTTATGGGTTATGCATCATTTCTGTTATGATACAGAAATTTTGTCTCATTGAAAATCATTTGTCATTAATGATGGATTGCCATAGTCACATGCTGGCCTGTATACACTCCAATAAAATGTAATTCTTATTTACACTGATTCTATATGCACATAACCTGCTATCATTTCCCTTTTTGTTCATGCTGTTATATACCTAGGTATACATAAAGGTACATATAAATATACATATTTTGATGTCCTTGCTGTTTCCTTGGCATTTTTTTTTCTTTCTATTTAGATTTCTAATTGTATTAGTGTAAGCCATTCTGGCAAGGTATTCTTCCAGTCCTTTCTGCCATGTAGGCTATTACAATCAACATCTTGATATAACTAATTGAGTCTACAGAATAAGAAATAGTGTCAAAAAGTCTTAATGAAAATATTTTGTTTTCTTTAGAAATTTGTGTGTGATATGAGCTTTACTGTTCATTTTGGGTAATCAACCTATAGTTTTTTAAAATCTTGAGAAAACTTATCACAAGATTTTCAAGTTTACTCCCAACTGAATGAAGCTCCTAAAATTTAGATTACATCACATTTTGACAATGTTCAGCAATAATTATAGATCTATTTAATTTAATTTCCCTTCTTTGTCAAGATGATATGACAAAAAAATACAGCATTGCTAGTTATCCTTATTTTTTTTTGTAGTTTTTATCAATGCCTGCTCAAAATTTAAAACATGATTGAATATTTAAATAAAAGAATTACGTATATAAAATAGTTCAGAGTAATAATATTGAGATTTTCTCTCCAACAGAGCTCCAGAGATCCTACCAGTCCTGCAGTCTACACCACCAATATCACAACAATGCTTCTGGGTCTCTACTTATGAACTATTGTCTGCATTGTGAGCTCAAACTTGGACCTCCATAACTGAAAAACTTTTATAAGCTATCAGCAGAGAATTAAATGAAATTAGCTAAGTGAAGATTTAATTTTCCAAGTTGCGCATTGTAAAATAATGAATGTGTTTCTCATCCGTGGACTGTGATTGTCAAGCTGCGACAATTTTTCACCTTCAAGAATCAGCTAAAAGCTCAGGTAAGTTGTGTCATCTTGAGATATTCATCTTGAAATTTATTCATCATATGTTTTTATTTGTATTTTGATCCATAGAGTAAAACTTCTAATTCAAATTTTTATTCACTTGCTTGTTGATAATAATTACACATTATATTGAGATGATGATTGTTCTAATTTTATATGAAAAGTATAAACTTCCTTTAATAACAGGTTTCAATTTTGAAAGAAGTGGAGGGTAGGTCTGAGATCCCTGCTTAGGGTCATCTAATAAGCCTATTGTTGCCTCAGGTAGTTTTTACCTGTCCATCAAATTTGCCTTCACTCCCATGGCTCTCTAACTTGCCAAAATTGGCCAAATTTGAAGTATTTATATACACACATTGACTAAAATTTGTAAACATTTAAAATACAGTTCCAATTTTGCATTGAATTTGAGATTTTTTTAATAGTTCTAAATTAATGGAGCTGTCATTTTTGTATGGCCCAACTGCATGACTTCTGACGTGCCTGATCCCGTTATAGAATTTTTAAAGCTGATCCCGGGCTTTGTATTCCTGTCATGAGCTGTTTACTTGAGACTCATCACAACTGCTCTCTACCTTGCTCAAATTTATTTCAACAATGAAGTTTGTCAGGTTATTATCTTCTGTATTGATGGAATTTGTGTGCTGTTAAAATTTCCTATAAAAGGAATCTTTCGTAAAGCTCAAGTTGACGGACCATGAATCTGACATTTTCTTATTAAAAATTGTATTTTGCTTTATTCAGTCTGGTTCAAAAGTTTGAACAATTTTGCCTCATTTGTTGTTTGGATATAAGTAGCTTGCTAAGGTAATCATGAAGTAAGTTTTGGGGAAGTGAGTTTTGTGCGCATTGCGCTGCGCATGGGCTTGATCGATAAAAAAGGACGCTCCAGTTTCCTTCGTCTAGCCTGTTGAGATTTCCCTCCCTTCCAAGTTCAATTGATCTGCGCATGCGCAGTTCATTTTTATGAGGCAGTTGGGTGGGTTGTGGTTAATGCGTCCGCTCTTTTGTAAAAGGATGCTCTGCGTTGCCAGATCATGAGTTTTGTACGCTTCCTTTATCTCTCCATATGCATTCACTGCATTGTTTGAGCATTTTAGGAGATGTTATTTTGAAGTCTGATGATCTGACATGTTATTATTTGATGAATTGATTTAAAATCTTGAAATTTGCCCATGATAATGTCGGAGAATCAGGTCACTGAAAAATTATTGATCGGTCTTTGTGTGTGGGAACCTGGCATCTACTGGATTGGTGAGAAGAATAGAAATATCTTAATTATGTTTTAATTTCAAACAATCTCTTTATTATCTCTCATTGCTTTTCCAGTAATAGATATTTTCAAACCAATCCTCACTGTGTTATGTGATTGACTCTTATTATCAGTGGGGTTTTCATATTATGATCTCTTGTGGTGTGGATGTTTGAATTCAAGGTTGCTAGGCTTTATTTCCCTTACATTTTTATTTTCTTCAGATTCACTTTATTTCTATAGTTACAATGATGCATTAATTTGAAAAAAAACAGAAACTTATTTACTTATAAAAGTGTTTAATAAAGTATAATACCCTTTCCATTAATATTCCCCAAAAATCTGTCTCATTCAAGTATATATACGTATATATACTTGTGTAATACATTTTTTGGTCATTGCCACAAATATGTACATCAAGACATAAATTTCAGATGCTTATCTGATGCTCATTTAATTGTAAACCAGAAGGAAAATCCTGGCATTACTCACAATGAATAATCCGTAAGATTTCAAAATCCAATATTCAAATTTTCATTCCACCTATCTTAATAATTCTCAGATTAATGTCATTACAATTGAACCAGCTCCCATTCAAACTATGCCATTTTTTTGCCATTTTTTTTACTAGATATGTTAAACTTAAATTGAAACATGCAAAATACAGGTCTATACTCTAGCTTTACTCACCATAAATTGCTGGCTCCTGCAGCTCATAGTTTTGATGTAATTTAAAAAAAGTGATGGTCTTTGTTACCCCAGCTCTTGGGGTTTCTTTGACCGGGTGGTAAAATCAATTTTATTTTTTGGTAAAATAACTCCAAATAACTCCATGCATTGTAGTAGAACTCTTCAAGTTACATATGCAAAAGAAAAATTTTAGGAAAGTGTCATAGTTTGCAAATGGGGGGCGCCGCCCCCAAATGGGCGAAATGTGACCACCTAATGGCAGCCATGACGGGGTAACATTGACCGGTTTGGAAATTAAGTTAAAATTACCATATATAAGACTCTGTAGAGTCTGAAACATGAAGAAAAAAACATTAATAGGTGTATCAAACATAAAATAACTATGTTATATAGGTACCTATGGTAATTTTAAAATTTCCAAGCCGGTCAATGTTACCCCGTCACGGCTGCCATTAGGTGGTCAAAGTTACCCCATTGGGGGGCAGCGCCCCCCATTTGCAAACTATGACACTTTCCTAAAATTTGTCTTTTGCATATGTAACTAGAAGAGTTCTACTACAATGCATCAAAACCTGGAGTTATTTTACCAAAAAATATAAAAATTGGAGGGGGTACTCCGACAGGCTTTGAATAATAGCTCTTTTTTGTGGGTCACATTTTTAATTTTTTAACCTATTAGATATGTAAACTTTTTAAATCTTTCTATTGTGTTACGTAGCCTTAGTATTAGGCCTTTGATTGGCCATTGACAAAATTTTTCTATGTCGAATCATTTTTGAGTTTTGGGGGTTTTTGTTAAAAAAGTGAAAAGTGGTCAAAGTTACCCCGCCGGTCAAAGTTACCCCATTTTACGGTACTCTATTAATATGAGGCAATAAACTTTTTTCATACAAAAAGAAAAATTGAAATTACTACATCTATTGTAAATATTTTATTTCCATTTCTTGAAGCAACCCTGTTTTTATTGATTAAAAATAAAACTTTAGTTAGATAATTTTCTGATATTATGAGTACATACTGCATACATGTGTTATTATTGTCTGCACATATACACCTATATAGATTTCAGCTTAAAATTTACAAATGTGCTCTCACCCTCTAATTATTCAATTATTGAGCAGGCAAACTTGGCATTGAACGAGTGTATTGTGCAGGATAGTATCATATTATTGTCTGTTTTGTGGGTTAAACAGCTGGTTTATCTAGCACTGGTGCTGTCCAATTTGGGTTCCATGCATGCAAATTGAGATAAAATTTCGTATACTTTTTGTGGTGCACCAAATATGTTTATTTCATTTGCTTATTTCCATCTAAGTCTAAAATTTCAGATTTTATGATATCAAAAGTATCCAAAGGTAGATTTAAAATACAAGTGGGTGTTGTGGAGGTGCACACCAATGATCTGTATAAATTTCCAATATCTGGCTTCAAACACATAAATAAATAACTATATATATATTATAGAATACATACTTGGTTTTAAAAAAGTTACCGGTATTCAATTAAATTTTTTAGTTGTACTGTATCAAGAAATGAAGATCTGGACCTAGTTAATTCCAGACATAGACCATAAACTTTCCATGTGTTTGCTCTACTATATTAGGTTGCTTTTACCATTGTAGTACTGATGAATACAACCTCTTGCAGAGGCACGAGGTGTGTCTGGTCGTGATGTGGTACTGGGTGCTGCCCAATGCTCCAGCCCTCATGGTGGCAAGATGAGCAGCAGTAGAAGTCTTTTATCGCCACCAGCCTCCACTCCTGCTACTGCTGCTGCATCTTACACTGAACCTTCAAGCAACTTGTTGTTGGGTTCTCCCACAACCTCTGCTTCTTTCAACACACCATTGTCACCTGTGACTAAACCTGCTCAAGTGCTCCATGTGTCTAGTTCATTCAACACTTTATCCAAAGAATTAGAGTCATCGGGGGTTAATATTGAAAACAAGTCAATTAGTTTTAGTGTTAACTCGAGCAGTGCTGTGATAATCTCAACTAGCCTGGAGCCCACTGCCTGTGGCCCAGCAAGCGCTTCATGCAGAAGTGCCAGTCCAGTAATTTCCTCTTCTGCGAATACTTCTTCATTACCAAACTCTACTTGCATAGGTTTGAAGAGTGGGGTTCTTGCACAAGAGCCTCATCAGACCACGCCCAAAATAAGCTCTAGTGACATTTTAGGACTGGGCAGCAGTGTATTGGTGCCTGCGGTATGTTGGCAGCAAGCAGAAGAAGAGGTGTGTGCAGCTCTGTACGACCTTGGCCTCAGTGGTCGTGGCATCGACAAAGACCAATTATTTTCTTCCACCGAAGGGGCAACGTGTGGCGAGACCCGACCTCCTGTCTTGGGAGAAGAGCAAAAGATTGGAGAAGAAGAAGACTTTGGTGCAGAACACAATATCCTAATGCAAGGTGATAATCGAGGCTTTTTTGATGGTTTAACATAATCAAAAAATGAAAAAGAATATATGTTATACTTTAGCATTCATCTAGAAGAGTAAGTCTCCATAACAGAAATAAATACAGTGCTTACTGGTCATTTGTTTTTTAGTGTGTCATCCGTGAAGGCCCTCTTGTTGCTAGAGTGTAACTTTGTGTTGTTGCAGGTGAAGGTTGGGGAGAATGCCCTGCTGTGGAAGGGTCTGGGGAAGGAGAGAGCCCCGAGACCGGGAGTGGAGGTGTGGGAGGATCCCTCGAAGGCAGCAGCAGCTGTGGCAGTAACGTGTCTAGCAACCCTCGGGAGTGGTCACAGTCAATCGACCATCTGCTCAGTGACCCCAATGGAGTTTCAGTTTTTATGAATTTCCTTAAGGAAGAGAACGGCTGCTGCAATACCCTAGATTTTTTCTTTGCATGTAAAGGTTTAGAACGTCAGCCGTCCGAGAATTTGAGACAACTCCTACCATTGATATGGAAGAAATTTATCCGTAATTATAATGTGCGTGTCTCTCCTGAAACGCACGCGGATTTAGCTGAGAAGATCCATCAAGGTGATCTGTCTGCAGACATGTTCCGTGTGGCTCAGCGGGAAGCCCTGGATTTTCTACGAGAAACTTCATACCCTGTCTTCCTGCAGTCACAGATGTATGTAGAGCAGCTGCAGCTCTATTATGCAGAGCAGCAAAAGCTTTTAGACTTGAGTGATCACGAACGTCGTAACCAAGGCAATTTACTGCAACAAAACCAGAACCTTGGCTTCAGTTCACAATACTACCCGAAGCAAAGTGAAGACCATTGTTTGGGGAGCTCCAGCCTCCAAAGCGGCTACTGTTCTACCGCTAACCTCAAGTGGGGCCACAGTCCCGGCGCGCTCCCCACTCTCTATGAACATGAAACACCAACATCTCTCCCAGCCATCGCGCCGCCAGGATGCATGAAGCTCCTTTCAAGCGGACTCAGAGGCACTCCAGAGGACGACCTCATGTGCCTTGTACCTTCAGCAGCCAAGAGGCCCCAATTGTCCTCCAAGAACCTGGCGGCCACGGCCTTCCAAAGGGCGGCTCCTGTTGGATACAAGCAGTGAGTAGCTTCACCTCATGTCGCACTTCAGTTGATTTCACTTCACGTGAATTAAATTCATTTTTCGGGTGTTTTACACGAATCAATTCAGCAAACCTAATTAGTAAACCTGTTCTTAATGTACGTTTGAGTGCATGTTTGTCATGTGCTTCCATCTGCAGCAATATTCACCGAATTTTATTACTACTTTGTTATTTGAATACACAGTCAACTTGTGGACTGAATTATATATTTTAATTTAAGCTTATTCTCTCATATTGCAGCACATCTCCTGGTTACCGTTACTCAATATTCCGTTTAAACATTTACCTGCTAAATGAATCTATTACAAATTAATCAATTACACTTTGAATTTCTTTCACAAACGGCATTGATTTTCCTTCTTCCTCATCCTGGCCAACAAATGCGCTAAACAACTCTCAGTTCTCTTGATAGCCTGGGCTTGAGAGCTGCTCGCGACCCTTGAACTACACTCGGAAAATAATCTCTTTTCAGGGTTACACTTTGGAATCTGTCGGCGTTTCAAGTCATGCTGGTCTTTGCTTATTGCTCACTCATCAATATTTGCAATTATTGACAATATGTAAATAACTTGTATTATAATTTAAATTACACACAAGTACAATTTTTTCTAATATCTTGACTGAGTTCATATTTTTTTAAGTTGCCTAAGTGTCCGTGCATGCATTACTTTCAAATACCTAGGAGTCGCACTTGCATTCTTCTTGTTCAGGTTCGATTGTTAGCAGGCATTGGTGTCTTAGTATCCTCTTTATCACGCAGGTAGCAAGTTTACCTCACCCAATTCTCCTTGAAACCGACTTGCACGTTTGAATATTTCTGACTCGCATTTCGTGACTTGTCGCTCAAATGGGTCATGTTCACCGTCTGATACAAGCCATTGTATGTTTGGATCTTGTCGCAAGACAAACATTAGCTTGAGTGGGACTGAAGCTGACCCATGTCTTTATACACCGGCAATACCTCCTTGCATGTCCTCCACTGACTGTTAGTAACGCTTGTTGTTGTCGCTGCTCTGTAGAGGTGCACGCGGCGGCTTGAACCCTTACCACGCCAGTTTTGCTAAGGGCCACTACACTAGCAGACAGGACTCCGAGAGACAGAGTGTCAGCTCTGGTGCCTATACTGACGACACCAGGAGCTATACTGACGGCTCAATGTGAGTATTAAATAACAAACACAATCGTGAAGTTTTATGAAGATGAGACATTGGTGCTAACCAGTCCAATCGGTTTTAATGTGATGTGATGTTTTAATGTTTGTGATGAGGTGACGAAGCAGTGGGTGCCGGCGCTGTATGAATTTGCTTGTCAGAGAAGTAGTGCCTTGTCTGGTCTACACGTAATGGCAAGTACCACACGAAAAATTAATCACTAAAGTATAGCGAGTGTTTTTCTTAATATTCTAGGTCCTTGAAAAAAAGAATATGCGTTGCAGTAAATTAATGCTCTCTAGTCTGAGCCCTGACTGCACTGCGTGTGAGTATTCTAGTGAAGGTTAAATCTATTCCATCTTCTATGTCACCTTGGATCACCGACCCTGAATCTTTTCAGTATTATCAAAGCATTTAATGTTCCTATTTCAAATTGAGTATCTCTCTGGTAGCTTTTTTTTTATATTCAACTTCAGAAACGTGGGTTGGTTTACGGTTTATCTTTAATCAAGGTATGAGTTTCACTGGCTGAAGGTGGGCAAGGTTTATTTTAAGATTATTCAATTGCACTTATTTGCTTTACTTATGCATGCTATTCAAATTGATGTTTTCTTCTCCCTTATCCGGTGCTTCGTTCATCGTTCACTTTACAACCCCGCTTGCTACACCTGCATACTTAATTTTGTTTATTCCATTTGTGAGAAGCTTTAAAAATCGTGATGAGTCATCGCACGATGTGAAATATACTGAATTATAGTTTATGTATAAAGATGATAAAATTTCGAGGTTAAATCTTACTCAGGATGAGTTCAATATCACGTACTATGTATTTCGATTAGAATTAAGTTCTTAGTCGGCTAAATGAGACACATGTTGTTTTAATGTAAACAGTGACGGAGACACGGGCTACTGTGGCAGCTCCAGCAAGCTGGCCAGGAAGGAGAAGATGTTGCTCAAGGACAACCTTCGTCTCAATGAAGAACTCCGCCTCAAACACAAGCAGCAACAGTCCTATTTAGCGTCCGCTGGTATGATACACATTTTATTACTTACCTCTAAATACTTTCAGTTATTAGTTTCATGTAATTACTCTCTTAATGTTTTACTATTGGTTATGAGGGCGTCGACACACATTGGATGCCTAACCTAGTGTTGTTTATCACCTAGAACGTTTTTCTCCTTATATAGATCGATTTAGAATGTGTTCGATTATATACATCTTTGTTTGAATTTTGCTCCTGATGTTTAAAATTGTCATTAAGAAATCCGAGTTGTCGAAGCCAATGAAATGTAATGCCTGCATGCAACTACCTTTGGAGATCTACAGTGATCTGCTTATAATTAGTTGTGAACGCTACTCGGCGTGTCAATATGCTTCCGATGCTCTGGCACTTTTGCTGTAAGAAACTAGTGTCAATATTGACATGATTCCCATGCTTTACTGGTACTTTCTTACCTAGGAATTAATGGTGTCTCTGCGATGAAGCCGTGAGAGATACTATCGCTGTACTCGTTCTGTAGGGCGTTTTTAGCCTGAAGCACTGCTCGCTGGAGTGGCGACAGTATCATAATTGTTTTAAACGCGCTCCGATAAACGTGTTAGTTATGGATATTTATCAGTGCTGTGGTGGCAAGAGGTAGAACAGTATCGCGATCGTTTTTAAGCACGTTCTGATAAAGTCAGCCTTGAAGATACTAACCATGGCTGGGTGTGCAGGTGGAACAGCGTCGTTCGTGGTGCCCCGAACTCAGCTGCCCGTGTGTCCCAGCACGAACCTCGCCAAGCACCCCGAGCAGTTCGCGCGAGTGCTCACGGAGAAGCTGGAGGCCGTGCTGCGCAAGAGAGAGGGCAATGAGAAGGTGCAGCGCGCCTTCAAGAAAATACAGGAGGTTAGCATACGCTTTTATATCCAGCTTTGATGGAATGAATGTGCCGAGCGCATGAGGATATTGAGGAATGAGCTCTGAATGCATGTGAAGTGTTGAAGAATAAGGCAATACAGGAGTTTTGCATATGCTTCTGTACTCGGCTTATTTGGAATGAATGTACTCAGTGGATAATTTTTGCCGCAAATGCATGGGAAGTATAAGGGAATAAAGGAATGCAAGAGATCCGGTATACGCTCTTTTTCACTTACCAGGTTAATTGACGAGCCTAGCATGAAAATTAGTGATGTAATGTGAATGAATGTGCGTTCACCTAGTAGTGTTAGTGTTCATCATGACCGAAGATTGTTCAGAATATTACATCTTCTGTTCTGTCAAAAACCGTTTAATATACTAAAAACAATACAACATACAACACATTCTTAAGACATTAACAAAAAAAAAAATTCAATATACTATACAAAATAAATGTTTTTTCTTACAGCAACAAATGAATGTAATATACTACACCACAAGATTTTTTTGGACATTACGAGATATATTGCATGAATTGCAAGATGTTCGTTTAGCATCAACTAAGAAATATGTTGTGTTTCAGAGCGAGGGCTCGGCTGACGTGTACCGCAGAGAGCACGCCGTCAACTCCCTGCCGCCCTCCGTCCTCATGAACAAAATCATGGAGAAAATCCCGCTTGATGACGACGTCTCGGAGCAGGCCATATTAGGTGCGTCGAAGTCGCTGTTGTTTCTAGATAAGCAATCTATAAGCTGAACTCTTATTTCTTAACTGACATTCCATAAGCTGAACTCTTATTTATTAACATAAAATCCATAAGCTGAACTCTTATTTATTAACATAAAATCCATAAGCTGAACTCTTATTCATTAACATAAAATCCATAAGCTGAACTCTTATTTCTTAACTGACAATCCATAAGCTAAACTCTTATTTCTTAACAGACAATCCTTAAAGCCATATTCTTTGCTTCAATTTTTTGATACGTGACTATGCAGCTTTTGTTACTAGTTAGTTGGCTAAACTTTCAACCTAACCTAACCTAACCTTCAACAGTAATTTTGTAGGGTTTAACCTTTAAAAACCTTATATTATAATAACCTTTAACACTTTAATCTTATATTAAGTGCAGATTTTGATATTTTTCAAAGCGATTTACGTGTGTTCAGTGTCAGATCTCATCAATATGATATTAACCCAAAGCCTTGCAGTCATTTGTAACTTGTAGAGACCAGAAGTGTGATATGTAACCTGTTTGAACAGACCAGCACGTATCGCGGGTTTGGCAGGACAGCAGCCGCGGCTCTCCAGTCTGTTTCCCTTCCAGCCCTCCTCGCATGATGTCGTACCGCACCACGGCGCCCCTGCACCACCACCATCACCACTTCCTCAACTACAACGCTAACGCCTCCAACGCGCCTCTCGTTACCAAGAACAAAGCGTCTCACGTCCCTAACAAGAGCAGCAAAACCCCCTTCAGGAGCTCCAACTACCAAGGTCTAGTCCAGCAGTCGCAGAAGGCGGAGCATCAATACCCCCTGTCAGGGACGTCACCCTACACCGATTACCCCGCCTCTCCTTCCATGCCCCCCAGCAGAAGCTTGCACCATCTCCGCTCCAGGGATCAGAACGTCAGTTCTAGTCAATGCATCTTCACATTGAGGCATGCGTCATATATATCTTCATTTATTTTTATATTTAGTTTAGAATAAAAAATGCATTTCAGGCACCAAACTTCAGTTTTGTGCTGTACAACTAATAAGCTATTGTTACAAACTTACAATGATGTTTGTGATTGTAATTGTACTCATGGAAAATAGGTAATGAAATTCGTAAGTTGAAGATTTGAGATCTCAACTCCTTAGCATGGAAAATCTATTTGCTCATCTTGATGAGGAACGAGTTCATTTTCTTTTTTGTCTCCTTCGGTAACACAAAGTTTGAACTCTTTTCATTACTTGGCTTGAAACATTTTTTTCTCACAAAGTTGATGTTTTGAAGACAAAAAAAAACGTTCTTTTTATCTATTTAAGGAACTTCCATTGTGCGATAAAGTTTGTATTTCGTATGAAGCACCAAATGATGTGTTACTGTGACTGAAATGGAGGTGTATTCTTTCGATCTTTCGTTCCGTTCCTGCTGTAGACATACCGGTAGACTCTCGTATATGAGTGCTCATTATTTATATACTTAAGTATCTAACCTTATAAATGTACCAGAGCATGGATGTGTACGGAGCGTTCTCGTCTGACTCTGGCACCGTGCCAGACTTCCGTGAGAGCAGCGCGCGCACCGGACGACGGCATCAGCCAAGCGGCGTCTCCAAGACGCGATCAGTTCCAGAGAACATGATGGACTCCTGTGCTGGTGACTGTTATTCTAGCTTGTAGTTGCCTTTGTACGAGTACTTCATAGCTCTTTAGCATTGTGTGTTTATATTTTCCAACCTTTATTTTTCCGTGCAGAACTATAATTTTTCAAATGATTGCCTTTTTTTAATGAAATGTTTGTTTTTAAATTTGCAAGTTTTATTATTGTATCAGGTTGAAAAAAAATTAGTTTTGTTTTGTAGCTATGGATTTTGTTTGATTTTGGTTGTTGAGAAGAAACTTTGGCTACTTGTTTCTCTAAAACACTTTCTCCTGCATGAAAAAATCTAGGATGACTTTTCAGAATCATCATTATAAGCGACTTTAAAAATAAGATAAGAATGAATTTCATCTGACCTATTATTAATAATTGAATTGTGGATATGAGGTGCCTTGCTTCAGTCTAACTTCAATGGAGAAATGGTCGTCAATATAGTGTCTAGATTCAAAATTACTTTCTTTCTGCGTGATATTTGGGACTTGACATAATTACACGACTGTTATCATTCTAATCATGAATGCTGAAGTAGACGTAATGATGTTCAGGCAGCGGCAGTGAGCGCTACCCCAGCAGTAGCGGCAGCGGCAGCCGTGGCCGCACCACAGGAGGAGGTGGCTCAGAGCTCACAGACTCTGGCGTCTCCGTCATCTCTGACTCGAGGCATTCCCTGCTCACTACCACGCAGCCCTCGTCTGTCCACCAGAGGTATTATCACCAACTTATTCTTAGTGTTTTCACCACTCGAATGTTATTCCAATCAATTGGCAGATTTTGAACTAATGAGCCTTTGTTCTGAATTATTGTTGGAAAGCAGAAATATTTTCTAGACCTCCAGGAAAAGCATGATTTTTGTTTCTCATATTATTGAAACTCGCTTACTACTATCTGTCATGTTGGATCTCAGTAATGATTACAATGCATCACCTGCAGAGTGGAGACGTGGCTGCAAGACACGAGTGACAGCAGCGGCAGGAAACTGACGCAGAGCTTGAGGGAACCTGCGGATGACAGGACGTTCATTCCCAACTCTGTCAGGTTGGGAAAAATAGTTTCATCGTTATGTCGTTTTCTTTGAACTGACATACTTAGGGCTTGTAATATTTCCAGTTAAGGTTACGGATCAGGCAAGGCAGCAGCCTGCCAGACCGAATGAAATTTTTTCTTCACAACTCCTCCCAAGCTCTTTTTTATACGACCTTAATGGCCTCATTTCTCAGTCATGTTCTTATATTGCTCACCAATGCATTGACCTCTGAACTTCGTCTCCTCTTGCTTGGCTCGTTTATTTTTTGGGGGGTCCAGCGTTCATTCTGGCTGTTTTTTGCTGCTTGCATTTTTTTAAATAAATTATTACACTCAACTGTTGTAGGTGTGACTCGAGCTCCAGCACCGGTCGCTGGCAGCCGCAGCAGCAACAGCAGGTCGGCGCCCCACCTGATCACTTGCGGCGACGGCACAGGTTAGTACAAGTTCTCAATTACATTCTCTCTCAATCATTCAACGCAAACTTTATTAATAGCCTCAAGTATAAATAGTTATATAACATACACTCGTTTTAATTTATATTTCCTTTAGAAACTTGTTTCTTGAGTCTTTTGCTTTTAACGTTTTGCGTTGAAGGAATAAATTTAAAATGGTCAAGATCTTTACCAAACCTTGCTGTCAAAAATGGCTTGGTCGTAAATCAGGTACTGTTTGAAAAAAAACTTGTATTAAATTCCATATAGCCATTTCTGAATTATTCAAAGTGCATTGTACACTGCCATGCTAGTTGTAGAAAGGTTTTTTCCTAAGGTTTCGTTTAATAAGATTGTTTGTATGCTTCTAATTACAGACTTCACTAACATCTTCTTATTGCACGATTAGAGCTGCAAACACTGTGGGTGCTGCTGGAGACGTCAACAGACGCGCCAACACCGCGAGCCCTGCAGCCGCGACCTCCACGTCACGCTATGGTGGGACAGGTGGTGGGGCCACCAGCGCTAGCGCAGTCACTAGTGCAATTACTAGCTGTGGCACTAACAGTTCAGGCACTAAGACCATCACCACAACTAACGCTCCAACCAGCGACCGTAACACTTCCAGCTCCAGCGGCTCCACTATGCGCAAACCCATCAAAGCTTCTTCTAATAAGTCCACGACAGGTGTGGGATATTTCGGTGCTTCTCTATCTTTCATTCATTCTATATATAGTAACAATTTTTTGTATTATCTTGTGTGTTTCCTGCTTGCCTAAGTGTTCTTTCTCATACTTGACAAAACGTCGAATCAGTATAGAGCAGCTCCCAAGAGTTTTGATTGCAATTTTGTGCATTTTTAATGCTGATTTCTCAGAAAACTGCCCATGCCCGTGTTTACATTCAAGTTTTAAAGAAGTGAAAACATTTCCATCTAAACCTGGTGCTATCGTTGAGCTTTCAATTATAATATTTACGTTGATGTGAATTGCAAGTATGTCAGTCATTATATTCCTTTAATTTTTTATAATTTTTTGGTAAACAAATATTTGCATGCATGGATCTCAATCTAATTTTTACAGCATGAGCATAGAATCTTGTTATGTTTATTTTCTCTGTTCGCTTACCTTCCATCGAGTATTTTGCATGGTTGTCAATGTATGACCAGTTGAATACAAATAAAAGTCAGAAACAAAAATATCTTTTACTTTATGGGCAAAAGTTTGCATGTGTCTATAGTGAAAATCTATGGATGAATGATGATGGCAGGAGGTTTGTTTCGGGTGCTATGAGAGTTAAAAAAACAATTAAATTAACACCTTTTTATTTAGGTTTTTTATGTAGGTAATATTTGTGTGATGGGACTTTCCTGCTGCTTGTGTTTTATTGCAGTCAACAGAAAGGTCACTGGCACGTGATTGGCTATTTTATTTAATTAATTTATATATTAAATCTACTATGCCCGTACTCAATTATTTCATTTGCTGATAGAGAAGTTCAAAAGTAACAACAATACAGCAGGTTTTAGATAACTCGTTAATTATGGTTGTTTTAGGTTTGATAATTTTTTTATCATTTGCAATGTAGTGAGTTTAACTTAGATTTTCTCACTCTAAATTTACCTCGAACGTTGAAAACATCACGTTCCTTGAACCAGGTGGGGGTGGTGGCAGCGACGGCCAGAGCAGCTGTAGCCGCGGCAGCGATGGTTCCTGCCTGACAGAGAGCACTACGGTCGTGTACAGCTTCTGTGACGACTCTGTTCCTTTTGTCATCAAGATCGTGGCGCGCAGCATTACTCTGAAGCGCTTCAAACAACATCTGCCCAAGCGCGGCAACTACAGGTATTACCACTTGATACGGTAGCCAAGTTAACAGCTTTGGACGTTAAGTTGGTTATTATGTAAGAAGTTCGATTCGGTGATCGAACCAAAATCTAGTGAATCGATCCAAAATCAAGAGTAGAGTAATCGTGAAGCAAATTATTTGTTAGGACTTTAAAGTTTACTGAGGAGTTAAATTTTGTTTTCTCGAAAAATTTTGGGGCTTGAAACCTACCCACGTTTTCATAACTTGTACTTCTTTGATTGATTACTAGCATTTATCGATGATGAGAGAATATTAGTTGCTGCTTTCGGCTGAATTCTAAGCTATTTGCCATGAAATTTCACTTCAAATTTTTAAATTAGTAGAAAGTGAATTCCTCATATAGTGTTGAACACTTTGAAGTTGTGCGCATTTAATTGTTAATTTTGAAGGATGTACAGCCGTGTAACACGCCTTGGTTTGTGCAGGTTCTTCTTCAAGAAGCACTGCGAAGAGTTTGGAGTGATACAAGAAGAGATGACTGAGGATGAAGAAGTCTTGCCTATCTATGAGGGCCGCATCTTTGCACAAATTCGTAAAGCCGACTGACCCTCGCTCATACCCCTGCCGCGACGCGGGGCACATTTCTTTCTCAAGATACCGTCATTGTTTAGATTGTCTGGTCCTGCCAGTCCTTGTGTAGGCTCGGTCTTGAGTCATATCAAGTTAATTAATTTCAATCATTCTCGTCGAAAGGAAGGCTCTTTCTCAGTGCCATATTTAGCTCTTCCTCAACGGCCCATGTCGAAGAGGAAGCCAAGTTCTCGCGTTCATTGTGGACGCCTTCGGGTTGGCATCAAAAGCAAGAAACTGTCACGTTGCATCCACTTGCTACGCAGCCGCTGCCGAGCGAAGATCAAGAAGCAGCTGTGCCGGCTGAATCATTCAGACGAGTACTCTACTTCATCGAGGTTACTACCATCTCCCAGCTCTTTGGATGACGAGGAATTGTGTCTTCGAGTACCTGTCGCTCATAAGTCGCGGTGTTTGCGGAAGTTCAAACGCAAATCAGTAAACTACTCAAGTGTTGGGTGTTCGAATTTTCGCTCACATGAAGTTGCACGGGTGAATTTACTAACTTCCTGGAATTATTTGAGGCATGTATCATCTTCAGCCTTATTTTCTGATGAAAATGATGTTCCTAATAACAAGCGCAACTGTTACGTGAATTATCTTTGCGATGATAACATGCTATCAAATAATACTCTCACTGATGGTACTAGTACTACGTCTCCGTCTAATTCAATCGCCGACGGTATTCCCAACTTGAGCATCGCGACAGCCAGCAGTAACACTTCTCAGTCGAATTCAAGCATATCAAGTTCTGAGGTTACTTTAATTTTAACCAACCGTAGCAAATCAGCTACTAACATTAAATTCTGTTGTTCTAACATTGTGACGTCAACAAATAACCACAGCAAAACCTCGTCTGACGTCGCAGTTTGTTCTTCAGATGCCCCAGAGATGAACGTTGGTGACACTGTAGCGGCAGCTGTGCACTCTCATTACGGGTATGTTAATTACAGAGAGCTCTCAGCTGCACCCTGCTGCAGCGGACGGCGCTCTTGTCGGGCTGATAAAATTAACTGGCGTCACTACCCTAAATTCTTAGCTGAAGCGTCATCTTCCAACGAATGTCTTCTTGGCAATTGATCCATGTCGCCAGAAATAGTTTTTCTTTTCCTTCAAAACTCCTCACAATGTCACGGAAGGTTGAATGTTAAATGTAATTGTAATGATTTTCTAGTACAATAATAACATACTTGTTCGACGTAGCTGTTGGAATCCTCTGCCTGGAAGTAATAATGCGAGGATGCACGTGAGTGCATCACTGAAACCAAAGAGACAGCTCCACTAGCAGCCTCATTTTAGGTATCAAACTCTAGTTGGTCGTGGTCGTGTGGTGCGGCGTTCCCGCCACACAACCCTCACGCTCATGCGTCACTCTGTACATCTAACCTGAGACCTTCGAATTATCACTTATTTACGAACTAGCTAATCTCTTTGTACATAGTGTAAATCTTATATGCAGATTAATAAACAACTTCTCGTTAGGCTGTTGCGGGTCATACTCAATAAAATTCATTACAGTAGCCTGCGTTAGGTAATATTAAGTGTCAGTAGGCTATTCATGACTTGATGTCATCGTAAGGAAACAAGTGACCTTATGTTTGTTAGTCGTCCTACTTGAGTGTCATCATGCAAGCAACCATGTACGATGTCTCTGAATTGCTGCATCATGACTCGGTTCCTCTGTGCAGCTACTCATTAAAACTGCTGTTCCTGTAAGACGATGTGTTGCAGTTGGAACATTCACTATTCATGATCATTTGTTTTTAAACAATATAAATCCACGTGTACTAAATTTGAAAGATCCTTTGCTGCTCCTCTTTTTGTCTAATTTAACGTAATCGTAATAGCAAACCATCGATCCTAAAGTACTCTCTGTACCAGTTTACTACTGTGCCGTGTTTCTAATTCGGTAATATACGCTTATTGAGGGCGTTTTCTGTTCAATCTTCTCTGGTCATATAACGTGGCAAGCTTGTTCGTTTTCGTACAAATCTTTACTCGGATTTTCTCAGTGTTGGTATACTGATTTCTTTAGTAACTCGTGAGCGAATTTTATTCTGTGCCTCGCAGGTTTAGAATTATCATTTGTATCAAATCCATGATATTATGATGCGTATTTTCAAATTTCTACCTCAGTAATAACTATTACCTGCCGATTTACTGTTTCAACGTTTAATTGCCGAAATGAGTCTCGGTGAAGGTTCTATGCTGCAGGAAAAGTTCTATGAAACATTTCCTTAATCCATAATTGTGCCTGGTCAGTGAAAACTTCGTTTCAGTTAGCTTTCTGGCAGCGAATTTTCAGTTACTTTATTTGGAAGCTGTAGCGTTATTTTACTAATCTAAACGAGATATTTTATTGCCGTAATCAAAGCTGAAAGTTTCAGCTCGCCTGCTTCAGCTTCATTATATCGTGGCAGGGCACAAGTATTCAATGGACATTACGCTCCAAAATCATGAAATGTTGGATTGTTCACTGTTGACATGATGGTGTTTTGAAATGTAAGAAATAACCTCATTGTCTTTTAAATATTTACCAGTTAGTTAGGGGACAATAAAGTGTTTCAGAACACCAATATGGCATGGCTAGCTCTGCAGGTGCTAGGAGTGATCTTCTGATGTCACGGAAGATGATTCTCCTGTGAATGTCATTTCTTGGATTCGTTTATGCATGTTTTAAATTGTTCTTTTTCAGTAATCTACTTAACTTGCATATCTTTATATTGCTGTTTCGTATTTTTTTTTATTTTTCATCGTTAAGAAACTATGCGAATCATGTGAAATTAATAAATGAGAAGAAAATGATTGAAATCAATAATTATATTGATTATATTTTAACCGAGTCTCTACATGGGACGAGGTGGAGCTACGAGAAGGGAGGGCGGAAGAAAGTGGAGTGTCGCGTGTACTGCTCTTCATAGCTCTATTTTTTTGTAGCGTAATTTATTTATTACTGTGTAATTGTCTAACTTTGTTGTATAAAGCTCCTTTCATATTGAACCTATTTAAATAAAGGGATTCTAATTGAGTTTTTTTTGCATTATTTTCACTATTCTTACTTTTTGTAACTGCTAAATCAAAAGAAATTGCAAGGAATATAAAGAATTTATCAATAATAGGAATCAAAATAAATAGCCGTTTAAAGGTACGAGAACATTTTGGTGAAGTCATACATGATTTTAAAACGACTAGCTTGATTTTTTTTTCATTTTGCCAACACCACAACTATTTTGAACGGAGGATGAAGAGGCACTTCGAAAGCTGATTCATTAATAAATGTGAGTACAATTTACAATATTGGTCAAATAACTTATGATTAAAATTTTTTTTCATTTAACCTAGTTTTTATAGAACACTGCAAAATTCGCACTATGTTTTTCAGAGTAGCTTTCCCAAAGAGTTATTTTTTCTCATAGATGGCGCTTAGGAACGAGAGCCACGTAGAGTGACATATTGCGGAACAACCGATGTTATTCCGGAGCTTGTGATGATTTCGTCGCTTCAAAAGTAAGTAGTGGCGTTCAACCAAATTGATTGGTTCATAATTCACCCGAAGGGCAAAGATTCCATTATGAGCTGCATTGGACGACGGGTCACGGGCGAAATTTATATAACAATCTGTTAGAACTACGTAGTGAGTATTTTGATAGAAAAGTCAAGTCATTAGTAGCCAGTACTCGGTCAGTGCCAGTGTGCCACTGTTGACTGCCACTAACCAGTAGGTTCTGATAGGTTGGAAAATTAGATGCCAAGATACCTAGGCCTTAGCTTAGCTTAAGCCTTGGTTTAAGTAGGAATGACCAAACCAGACCTTTTTACAATACTTCTCTATTCTCTTTAACTTCACTTCTTGTTTGTTTGTCTGTCTGTCTGCTACAAATATTATAATCAATATTTAACACACTTCTACCTGTCCAATCAATCTGAAATTTGGCACACTTGCGTAAAGTTGGAGACAATGCATGAATCAATTGACAGAACAAAAAGCTGAGTTTATAAATTAAAAAAATTTTTTTTTGCATTATTAAAAAAAATCAAAAAATAATTTTGTCTGCTAGCTACAAATCTTATACCCCACTGTGCAGAGAGTGGATGAATATTGCAAGATCTTTGGCGATGCTTCAGTAGCCAAATTTTTGCCTTCAGAAGATCTTGCCGACACATTTAGATTGAAATTCTTGCATTTAATATATTTCTCAGTCTTCGGCCAACTATTTAGAAAATAGGGAGAGTCTAAAAAACTCTCTGCTTTGCCACTATGCATGATACTTTACTGGTCTACTTATAGGACTCAAAAATGAACTTGAGGGAGAGTCTAAAAAACTCTCTGCTTTGCCACTATATGTCCAATTGATCTGAAATTTTTGCACAATTGCATAAAGTCAGAGACAATGCATGAATCAATTGACTGAATAAATAATTTTGAAAATGTACCAAATTTTGATATCTTCAAATTTTGAAAAAAGTCTTGAAAAATAATTTTTTTCAATATTTGAAAATAAAATTAGAAATTCATTGTACCTACATCGCAACATGTGTAACACACAAGACACTGGATTTTTCAGAAGTGTTGTCTTTAAAAAGTAATTTTTAAATGCATATTTTTACAATATCCTACTTCTCTTTAACTTCACTTCTTGTTTGTTTGTCTGTCTGTCATAGTGGCAAAGCAGAGAGTTTTTTAGACTCTCCCTCAAGTTCATTTTTGAGTCCTATAAGTAGACCAGTAAAGTATCAAGGATACCAGCATTATCTTACATAAGAAATTGGTTTAAGTCTTGAATAAATAAGGAAATTAGAAATGAACTGATTATAAAAAATCTCTGGTTTGTCACTATGCTGTCTGTCTGTCTGTCTCACTGTCTGTCTGCTACAAATCTTATAATTGAAATTTAACACACTTCTACTTATCCTATCGATCTGAAATTTTGCACACTTGCGTAAAGTTGGAGCGGTATATTCCGACATATTAAGGACGTAGCAAAAAATGAATGGCTAGGTATAAAAAATCACCGTATGCACAACTCAAGTTCTGTTTGCTCTACGTCTAGGTCACTCTCAAAACACCGCACTATGTGCCAGCAACAATGAAACGTCACAAACTGATGCCATATTTAGGTATTTAAAAGCCTTTAGAATGCAAACCTATCAAATCCATATATTCCGACGCTGTGTGTGACTAAATTTGGCATTTTGTGAGACTAATTCCGGCCGCGCTTCAAACTCAACTGGTTCGTAATTCCAACCCTCTTGTGTCCGAATTCCTATCGCTGTGTGAGCTGTATTGGAATACAAAACAGCTCAGAATTAGAACACTATTGAATATTGAACACTATTGAATATTGAACACTACTTAATTAGGCTTTCAATTAAGAGATATTAAGCTTTTAATTAAGAAAATTTTAGTTTTTGCACACAGCTCAGAACGAGCTGTGTGTGTCTAATTCCAAGCTGTGTTGGAATTAGTTTTTATGTGTCTAAAACCATCTCTTAACTTTATCATCTATTAATTTATTTAACACTTGAAATCAGCAAATACAAGTAAACTTGAAGGATTCCTAATCTATTCACAGACTTATTTAAAAGTCTCAAACCATAATATTCTTTCTACACAAACAGTTTATCTTTATTTGGTAGAGCAAGGTCAACTATCAACTTGGACACGTTTTCAATGTTCTCACTGGGTGACGTGCACTGTCTCTCTTTGGATCTCAACATTTTCCTGCCAGATGGCCCAGACCTAGTGTTTTGGTAATAGTATGGCACGCAATAGTATGATGTCACTATTTCAACCATCAATGAATGCGTGGAACTAAACAAAGCTTAATATAAAGGAAAAAAGTTGAGAAGTGTCGGAATTACACAGGATGTCGGAATATACCGCATTTACCCTATGTATTTTTGTATGATTGATAAAATTGTGGTTGGCACTTCAGAAATATGTCGCTTCATAAAATTTTTAACTTTCACAATCTGCATTAGTACTACAAGTTCAACACTCCTGCCAAAATATCCTGCAGTAGCCACTAGCCAGAAAATGTTCTTTTTCCTTCAATAACTAATTGAAAAATGTCAACTAATAATTGTCATGGTATTACCAATGTATATATACATATATATAGATAAATATATATTGATCAGGGTGTCAGTTCTTGCTTTAGACAGTGGCACCTTAATGTTACCTCTTGACTAGAGACACCCAAAGGCCAAACGTACTATTTTCTCTCTTGACAAACACTGTAACACATGCTCAAATGACTTTCAAGTGAAGAAAAATGATTTTGTTGTAACTTTTTGGGTAAAATCAGATATTTGACATGATATGTGTGCATGGCTTGACAAACAAACTTCTGGTTTGGCAAATGAGTTTGTGCCTCAAAAATGGCTGTTCGAGCCCTAGAAGCACTCAAACAGTTCGAACAAATGGAGTTGTGGCTCAAAAATTCATGAAATTGTGGCTCCAAAAATCCAATCACAGCTAAGAGATTAGACATTTTCCATAGTAAAAGTGGCTGGCTACTTGTAACCTTAGCCTCATTGAATTTTGTATATTTTACCAAAATCTGTCACACATAATAATTAAAAAATTTGTACAGTTTAAAAAATTTGGTTTGCATTATCATAGATCTTAACTGGGAAATTAGGTAGAAACTTGACAAATTATGCCTAAATGAAAAAAATGCCCGTATTTTTTGATAATTTTAACCATTCCCATGGCCCTTGCTTAATTTTTTTTTTGTGAAAGTTCTGAAAATGGCACAGTTTTGTCTAGGCTTGGAATATTTCAACCTTCTGGGTGGCAGCTAGAGCTTTTCTGCCAATTTTAAAGTGCAAGATTCCTCTTAAATGAATTACCTCTTATTAAATGCTATCTAAATGTTCACTGAAGTGCACAATCAGGCAGCACAATCTCAATGAGTTTGTAATTGGACATGGATGCAATTTAAGATTAAGCTTGTTTGTTGGTCATTATAGTTCCTCAATGTAATTACGGTGGATATATTTTTATAGTTGTAGATTATATGTATTGAATTTAAAATTATATGTATTGATTATATGTATTGAATGCATTTTTTAAAAATGCATTGAGCACCAATTAAAAATCACTCCCTTCTCAGAATTTTTTTCCCAATATCTTTATTATAATTATCATATCTTACCAAAGTTTATGGTCTAACCATCATACATTTTCTTTTCTAGATCAGCAAACAAGAGCTGAATATTTTGCTGCTGATAGGGTTTGTGATCCATCAGTGCAATGAAAGTGAAAGAGGTGGCTATCACAGCCTCTATAGCCTGGTCTCCAGCAACTTTGCAATCTCCACGCCTTGCATGTGCCACTGCTGCTAAACATGCAGATCCTACAAGCAAAAATGCTTTGGTTCAGGTGAAATTTACATTGTATTGATATAGTTAATAAAAATTGTAGTTGTTTTACAAAATTAGTTATTCTTACTATTAATGATGGTATTCATTAGAATACTTTAGAATAGAATCTTGCATTAAAATGGTCCTGTGAGGAATAGTTTCATGGAAATGGATGCATTTGTGAGGTGGTTGGAAGATCAAAAATGAGTAGTTATGCTGGTACAATTATACAATTATAAATGCTTGCATTGGGCAATAGGGTTTCAGTCTTACTTGATCCTAATGTATTTTTCTTTGTGTAGGTCTATTCTCTGAATCTTGGTGAAGAGAACCTGTCTATGAAACTGGATGGCTCCATCAGTGCAGTTACCAAGTGAGTTTTCCTTTTAATTTGTCCTATAATTGGTTGAAATAAATTTCACTTAAAATTTTGTTACAGTAGTTCTCTCATTTGAAGTTTATGAATATTGAAAATGCTATGTTTACTTTACTAATAAGTAAGAAGGAATAAAGAGGTCAAACACAATCTTAGACTGAAATGCTTAAAGATGCATTTTCATTATTTTAAAGAAGATCTGATTTGTTTCTATAAATTGTCATTTGAGTTTGAAGTGCTCACCAGTGCTTCCTAGAAAGTCCTGCTGGCAGCTGCAGTATTGAACCTTTTGGGAAGAAGGCTGTACTTGTGTTGAGATTCACCACCAAGCTCATGTTGTGATAAAGTCTTCACTGCTCATGTTTATGATTAGTGCATCAAAAAAGAGGCGCACTCCTTGTCATTCTTGTCAACATTTGAGTGTCATCCCAACAAACATTACATTGAGTGCTCTTTGGTTTTTCATTTAAAAATGTTCGTCCTATATAACTTTATTGATGAAAATTGCAATGTAACTAGTTGATTTAATGTAAATCATACAAAATTGTTGTTCTCTTGTGATGCTGATATCTTGTATGCAGATTCAATGATGTGGTCTGGGGCGTTGGTGGTCAACAAGTGGCTGGTGGAGCTGGTGTAGTGGCGTGTGCTGGGGACAACGGTGGCATCTACCTATACAATGGCAAGCAGCTCATGTCTGGCAGCAGTGCTTCTCTCATCAAAGTCATGGAGGGAAAGCATGCTGGCCCTGTCTATGCCCTTGACTTTAATGTGCACCAGGTTAGTTCTTTTTTCTTATACTTTTAATTTGCTGTGTTTACCATCTCATTCCAAGTTTTTGTTGCCTCTTTTCATTGTAGTTCAAAGTTCTTCAATTCAATATTTTTAAATTTCTTTTTCCTTCTCTGTGCAAGCTTCTTTGAAGCATTCAATTAATTTATTATTGCTTTGTTTATACTTGAAACTCACACAGGGTGGTTAAATTATTCTTCTCTCATTGCTCTTCTCGTTACAATTGATGTATTCAAACTTCTGGTTGATAGTCAGGCTTTAATTTTACTTCAAGTTACTTCGCATCCAGAAAGTTAATGTGTTGCTGTATGTAATGCTATTCAATTTTCTCTTGATTAAAATGATTTTATAAAAAAAATCATTTACAGATTTATAATGAGCCTCATTTTGCAGCCAAACTTGTTGGCATCAGGTTCTCAAGACTGTGAGGTCTTTATTTGGGATATCAACGATCCAGCCGTACCTATGAGCCCCGGAACAAAAGCCACTCTTGCTTCTGACGTCTCCAGTGTTGCATGGAACAGGTTATTTGAAGACACCATTGATGCACTCTTCTAATCCCCAAGTGTATGAAGTATCATGTGTGTTCAGGTGACATGTTTCTTCACAATAATCTCATGATCAGACATATGTTATATGTGGACTGCATTGAATAAATATTGATATTCCTATTATTCTACAGACAAGTGGAGCACATCCTGGCATGCGCATATGCGGGCCGCTGTGTTGTTTTTGATTTGCGTAAAAGTACAAGCATCGTACAGATCTCGGATGCTGTCTCCCGTGTAAGATAATACTGATAGATTTTTGTATTGTTACTGAAACAGGGTTAGTATGTAAATGTTTGTGATATGCTGAAATGATATAGGCTATTTTAATCAAGTCTATTGCGATAGTTCTTGATGTCTGGGTTTTCTTAGTTTTTTTCATAATCTGGATTTGTATTAAACTTCTAAAAGTATCTGTTCATATGATGATAATCTTCTCCAATATCTTAGAAATGGGAAAGATCATTCAGAAGTGTTCAATGGGAGCTTAATCCTGTTTATATTAATTCATGTTGAATATCTTTATTTATATGCGAAATATTCTTGAACAAATCTTGGGGTTTGGTTTAAGAAATTTTTGCTTGTATCTACCAAGTCCTGCCACTGGTATTAACATGGCTTTCAGTCATTCATTCAGCATCTTGCATTAATTAAGTAATAAATTCCAACATTAATTCCCATTTCAGATGAAGGCGAGCACTGTGTGCTGGCATCCTTCTGTTGCCACTCAGATGGTTATTGCATCTGAAGATGATCTGACGCCTGTCTGCCAAGTAAGATTTGTATTCCACTTTGAAATTATGGTCAATGAGAATTTTCTGATTGTCATACTTGGTCCTGGGATTCTCCCATAGCTGAGCTTAATGGCTACTTCCATTTTGGTACTCGTTAATTTTCATTCAAGGATTACAAAGAATATTCATTTCTTTTTGCCATTATCCCAGTATTGATGCGAACATTTAAGTAAATTAGTTTATCTTACCATTTACTCGAAGCGACCGAGAGTAGTAATGGAATAATTTTGATGTTCAAATTATTCAATGTCTTTCACTGTAATGTTTAGAGTCGTTTTGTCCATCCTCATATTGCATCAGTTGAGTAGCTGTGGAAGATTCCTTTTTGTTTCAGGTGTGGGATTTGAGATTTGCAAGCGCACCTTTAAAGCAATTTGATGGTCATCAACGAGGCGTGCAAAAACTTGACTGGTGCATGCAGGACCATGATATTATTTGCTCTGCTGCCAAGGATAACAGGTGAGAACAAATTACTTCGAACTGGAATCAATAAAACTTATTTTAGTTGAGCATAATTTTTCTACTACTCGAACAAGTATTGACAAGTCCATTTCGTCATGCCAGTTCTTTATTGCACTCATTCTGTGGACAACATCTGGGAATAAAATATAACAATGTTGATGATTACATTTTATAGTCTCTGAGTATTAGATACTGACAAATTAACTGGTTTTACGTACAGAATGCTGTGCTGGAGTGCCAGTACGGCTGAGCTGCTGTGTGAGGTGCCATCGTACAACCAGTGGAGCTTCGACGTGGCCTGGTGTCACCGCGACCCCGCACTCGTCGCCTCTGCCACCGTCGATGGCACAGTCAGCGTCTTCTCTCTGCTGGGGGGCGGCTACCCTCCTGCGCGCGATGTCAAGGTGCCTGCATGGCACTTATTATTTTAATATTATGGCTCTACCAATTTCAATGTTATGGCTCTTACAATTTCAATGTTATGGGCTTATGGCCCTTGTAATTTCGATGTTATGGCCCTTGCAATTTCGATGTTATGGCTCTTGACATTTTTCTACTGGGTGGCGGTTACAATCTTTCGCGCAATGTTGAGGTGCATGTATGGCCTTTACAATGGCAACGTTATGGCCCTTATAATGATGGTCACTTCTCTAGCTGTTGTTTTCTTTGCGTGTTGGATGTGAGGCTTTTAATTCCTGACAAATTATTTCATTGAAAAATATAAACCCACCCGGCTGTTGGCAATATCATAATGACCCTCGTGTGATTTGGGTCGTAATATACCTATGTACATACACTGTTAGAAAAATTACCGTTAACGGTATTATACCGGCGTTTCAGTGGCCGGTCGGCACGTGAAAGAAACACCGTTTCGCCGTTTTTATTCTAATTTAACACTAGAAATCCGTAAAACATCTGATAAAAACGGCGAAACAGTTTATTTTCACGGGGCCACCGGCCACTAGAACGCCAGTGGGACCGTTTTTTCACCGTTTTTTCTAACAGTGTATCACTAAGAGCTTTATGTAAAATTATATAGAACATATGTAAAAAACACTTTAACACAAAATAAAAATTGTTTCTAATTGTTACCTCTGTGGGAAGCGTTATTTTATGTTCTGTAATGAGGTTCAGATGTAGTTGAATAATTTTTACGTTTCAGTTCTCGGCGATTGCTGACAGTTTCCCTGGTATGGAGATGCCGTCTGAAGCGCCTGTTTCAGTGCAGCCTCAGACCGTCTATTTGGCGCGTCCTCCTGCCTTCTTCCCTTCTAAGAGCGGCTGTTCCTTTGGGGTTAGTTTACTCGTTGCATTTTCTACAGAAAGTGACTTGTAGAAATTATTTAAACATAGTGACAAGTATAGGTACTTTCATGTTCTCAATTAGAGTTTTTATGCATTTGATGCAACTTATCGTAGCTCCAAAGAACAAAGCTACAAAAAACAAACTGAACAAAGACTGCTAATTTTAAGGAAAAACGTTGTATGGATGTTCTTCACGCATGCAAATCAGTAGGAGTCACATCATCCCATTTTCCCTTTGTTTATAATCTATTAAGATGGCATTAACGACTATTACTATGGCCAGTTAAATATTGGTATGCCAATAAGGAAAACCATTGAATTGATCTTCAAAGCTACGATAGTTTAAATTCTTCTCACTGACAAAGTGTTCTTTTTTGACAAACAAAATTACGCTGAAATTTCCAAATGTTATGTTTGTTTAGAAATATTTCTTATTAATTTAGGATGTTTTAAAACTTATAAATTTTGGACCTTATAGATTACAGTTTGCTGATTTTTCAGTTTGGCGGGCAACTGTTGAGCTGGAATGCAGGCTCTGGTGTTGTGACCATCAGCCAGGTGGTGACAGAGCCTGACCTCGTGCAGCGCGGCAACGACCTCCTCGCGGCGCTCGGTGGCGCCGGCGTCCATCAGTTCTGTGCTGAAAAGCTCGCCGACCTCACGGACGATCACGAGAGAGTTAGTTCCCCTAGGAGACCTGACTAGTTAGGCTTCTGGTCAGAGATAGAGAGAGTTCTGTGCTGACAAGCTCGCCGACCTCACTAGACCTGACTAGTTATGCTTTTGTTCAGAGATAGAGAGAGTTCTGTGCTGACAAGCTCGCCGACCTCACGGATCATCACGAGAGAGTTAGTTCCCAACGGAGACCTTACTAGTTATGCTTTTGTTCAGAGATAGAGAGCCGAAAAATGAGAAAGCTTGCTAGAGATACTTCTTTAGACCGTAGCACAGAACAAGTATATATTTCATTGTGATGAAACGTCTTTGATTTTTCCCGTTTGAAATTCGCTATAATAAGACAGTACATTGCAACAAATTAGCTTGCTGTCTTGAAAAATTGTCAGTATTGTATAATTTGCTTGCTGCCCCTAATGCTGAGTCGTGCGTATTTGTGCATTACAGGAATTATGGGAATTCATCAGCGCGGGCCTCGCTGGAGAGGCGGCTGCTGTCCAGTACCTCAGCCTGCTGGGCTACCCTGCGCCTCTCGCTCTCAATGAGGACCCCAGCAGCGCTCTCAGCGCCCAGATGGGCGCACTCAATACTGCTGTCAGTTATCCTCTTGTCAGGATATTAGCAAAATTGTATGTTGTTCAGAAATATGTCGCTTATATGAGAACATGAGTTTTTGTCAACTTCGTTTAATGCAAACATTCAATTTCACCTATAACCACAACATAAAAACATCATATAAATACATCATAACAACATCATAAAAATACTTGCATATTTAGGCTTTGTGTGCTAGTGAAATTAATACTTCTCTGCTTGAGTAGCTGTTGTCAGTTCTGCAGTGTCTCTTTTGGTTCCTTTTTCATTCATATATGCTATTAGTGTTAAATTTATAATGACAATTATTAGTCTTGACCGCAAGCACTAATTTTGAGCATCATTATTCTGCCCCTACCCGAATTGGCACATCATTTAGTTATTGTACAGCAGGAAGGCAGCACAGGATCGTTGGACCCGAGTGAACAGTTTGAGATGATAGCTTCAGCGCAGTCGTCGGATAAAACTCCCGAACCTGAGGTGAGTTAAAATTAACGTTCATATCACGATATATGAACCACAAATGTTTATTCCATGTTTGTCTTGCCTAAAATTGGCGTTACCTTAAGTTAGGGTGTTAGCAGTCTGCGATTATACCAAGACTAACTTGGCTTGTTAAGACTAAAACCACTCGAGTTGCATTCAATACCATGCAGCTATAGGTACTACTGAATTCAGCAGCCATGCATTATAGTAGTTATACAATGGAATTTGTTAAGACGAGCTTGGCGTGGAAGGGCAATCGTTTTCATTTGAGTTGCATTTCGCAGCTGCTTGATCCAGACTCGCCGGGGCCTGAGGGTCGTCACGTGGTCGTGTCTCCGGACGGTGCTGGAGGAGCCATACGACGAGCCATCATCACAGGGCAGCTAGACGAGGCCGTGGACTTGTGCCTCCAAGACTCGAAATACACATTAGCCCTCATACTGTCTCAGCACGCCAGCCCCGAACTGTATCAAAAGGTGCATTAAGAGCAATACACATTAGCCCTCATACTGTCTCAGCACGCCTGCCCCGAACTGTATCAAAAGGTGCATTAAGAGCAATACACATTAGCCCTCATACTGTCTCAGCACGCCAGCCCCGAACTGTATCAATAGGTGTATTATGAGTAATAGGTACACATTAGCCCCCATATTATCTCAGAAAGTCAGCTCCGGACTGGATCAACTCATATTTATTATTATATTTTAAACTAAAAATACCAGATCATTTCCCTTTCTTTTACCTTTCTATTAGGTTTTTTCTTGCGAAAAGACTGAATTTTATTTGATGCTGGCTGCAATGTTATAGATGCTCCCCAATTCAAGTTTTTACATTTGTTACTTAACCATAGATCAAACCTGACGATGACTTATTTTATAAGTAGATTAAACTAGTGAAGTTGTTCTTAGATGTGCATTTACTCATTTACTCGTATTATACAACACCTGATGATGTCTTCTCTGATCTATAATAAACAAATGTTAACTAATTACTTAGACACGCGACCGCGTGCTGTGCCTGGAGAGCGACAGCGATGCGCTGTGTGGCGTGACGGCAGCCGTGGTGAAGACGGACCTGGACGCCGTAGTGGCTCAGTGCTCCCTCGACAACTGGAAGGAGGTCGTCGTGACGGTCATCAACCACGCGCCTGCTGAGCTCAGGCCGCAGCTCTTGCGTGAGTTCAGGCTAAAATTTTTATTCTAAATTCTCATGACATGAAAATTTATTCGATCTAGCATACTACGTTTGGACATCCTTTGATGTTTAGGTTTTTGAAGTTACGTGTTCCTCGACAACTTCTTTAGGAAATTAACCTCTAACAATAATGGCTTCTTAAAAGAAGTTTCATAGCAAGTTTTTATTTGTGTTATCGAGTTTTGTCTCGTCATTGCAGAGCGTCTTGGTAGCCGCCTAGAATTCAGCAATGAGCTTCAAAATGCGCTTCTGTGCTACCTGGTCGCCGGCGCTCTGGATAATTTTGTTCAGTGTTGGGTCAAAACCAAGCCAGTGGGATCTGCTCTCTCCACGCAACATCTACAGGTAACTTGAGCTTTACTATATAAATCGTACAGGTTTGTAGGATAACATTGTTGGATTTCATGGACTGACGAAAAAACAACCAATTTAAAGCCTTTGAAATTTTCTTTACGAATCATAACGTTTATTATTTTTTTCGTGTTTGCACGGTTGAACTTGAATAATATTAGACCTTGTTAGTTTTTAATCATGTTTACTCTGCTGGAAACCTTAATACTGGTAAAGTTGAAGCCACTTTTTTCTATTGCTGATTTATCATAGAATAGCATTGATATCGGTATAACTGACTGCAGGATCTGGTGGAAGTGGTGCTGGTGGTGCAGCAGAGCGGCGCAGCGCTGTCTACAGACGGAGACGCTGGCGCAGCGGTGGGTCAGTTCCTGGCGCAGTACGCCAGTCTTCTGGCCACTCAGGGCGCCCTACAAACTGCCCTCTGCTACCTTGCCAGCAGCGCCTCTCTTGATAGTCAGGTCTGGTCACGCTGCTGCTTCCTCGACCTATTATACGTGGCTGCTGAACCTGCGAACTGTATGGCTGCTGAACCTGTGAACTGTATGGCTGCTGAACCTGTGAACTGTATGGCTACTGAACCTGTGAACAGGATGGCTGCTGAACCTGTGAATTGTATGGCTGCTGAAGCCTTGAATGTCAAGTCCTGAACTGAGATAGAGCATTCCGATGATGGAATGTTGTTGTTTTATATAACGACTTGTAAAGAGATTTGTTCTAGCAATCGTATTCGTATTCGACATCAGTCGAGTATCTCGGATACCAATGTGATCCCCAAGTAGAATGATTTCCTCCAAGTTTCTTACTTCATGACGTCGTCATGCAAGTAACTATTCAAGCGTAGATAGTTTGTTCTTAAGTACTTCTCAGCGTTGCTTGCGCCCTAAAAAACTGAGGGCCTATTTTCAAAACTAGCTTAGATACACGAAGCGGACAATTTCTCGACTGTAATTAGTGGGTTTAGCTTGAAAGATCGTCAGTGATTGGCTGGCGGAGTTGCCAACTAACTATTTTTGATAGTAAAGCCTATGGTGTACGTGGTCAGGCTGAGCTGGTTGCGCTACGCACTCGCCTGGAGCGCGCCCTTGGTTACAGCGACGCTGGCAACAGCCACTCCAGCGCTTCCCGCACGCGCACGACGTCTACGTCGTCCCTGCAGCCAACGTACCGTCGTGCGTCTGCTCCCTCTGCTGCGTTCCAGGTAAACTTCATCTCGTCAGATCTACATCCTGAGGCTCAATATATCAAATAAAGTATGAGGATTTCTGTCAATTAGTGTACAGATCTACATCCTGAAGCTCAATATATCAACTAAAGTATAACCAATTCAGTTAATTCGTGTAACTTATTTGTCCATGGTAAAAGTGTCATAGGAAATCTGTAAAGAAAGGTTTATCAAGCAAATATCGCTGAAGCTAATTTCATTACACTTTTTTCTAACTTCGAGAGAAACTATAATTATTACCATAGAATTGACTTTTAAAGCATAAGGATATATTAATCTACTCGTTTCTACTTTATTTTACAAGTTTAGTTTGTTGTGGTTCTAAAACTGTGGCTAAGATCAATACCTTTTTGTGGCTGAATTTTTTCTAACGTTTTTAGTACGACGAAGTATTACTGTGAGCTGTTATGTTGGTGTCTTCTTTATGTCAGCTATATTACAGCTCTCTCTATTACGGTGGCTTCCCTGCCGAGACAAGAACATTGATCGTCTTATCTTATCGCTCTACTCGTATCTGTGCTTGCCCTTCTGTTTTCATTTGTATCGACAGTTACTTTAGATTGACAAAATTCATTTTTCAAGAAGTTCAATCAATTAATTTATGTAGCTCAGTTAGTATGATATTGCATCTTAGTTTTGTGAAATTAGGTGCCCGGTTTATACATCAAGTTTCTTTATTGATACATCCTGTGTTTAGGCTTCGTATGAGCTGAGTTCAGGACCGCTGGTGGTGAGTAGCGCCATGAGTATAGCGTCCTAGCAAGTCAAGGTAAAAAATGCAGCGTCACGATCTCAAGGCGTTCATCTTATCAAAGTTTATTGTGCGACTGGAAGTATCAAAAAAATCTCGAAGAAAATTATATTGAGCTGCCGACCTAGCTTCCACATGTAGGCTTAAAATATCGCTTTTGATTAGATGAGGTCATCCTCATGCATTTGCAGTTCAAATTATGAAGCCATGACATCGTGAACCTGTAGCCCCAGTACTGACAAGAACCTTGCTGTGTTGCTGCTTGTAGCGTTGTATCGAAGCGCTCTGGTTTTGCGTCACTTTCATGTGTGATTCTTCTGTAGTAATTCGAGCTTCGTCCCTTGAGTTTCAGATTTTTTTTTTTTTTTTGGTCAAGAACTGTTTAAATTTCTTTATTCCGATCTTTTTTTTTTACAGTTTTTAACAAGTAGCCACACTATTTAAATTTTGTTTACAGTTTTTTAACAAGTAACCACACTGTTTAAATTTTGTACTAACAATGTTGATAATTCTTAACTTGTACTTTTTAATTTTGAGCACTCATTTGATTCTTAGAATTGTTCGTGTTGAGTGTCGACACGTGGCCTCTCCACATACTTCTGACCTGTTAATGGTGACCCGCATAAACTGTCAGTTGGAGATCGATGTTCAGAAGCTTGTTTCTGTCCGTCGTCCTCATAATATTTAACGGAACACATTTTCCGAATTTTATCTTGTTTTTTATTTTAGTGTGCCGCGAGACTCTCATTGCTAGATAGATCACTAATCGAGTGATCTATCTCCGGACCGGAGATAGATATAGATATCTTTTATCTCCAGACCGAAAAACTGTCACGAATGGTGAAATTATATCTTATTAATCTATTCCTAATCAAAACAAGATGAATTCTCACGGTATTGATCTTGCTTAATTTTTTGCATTTCTTATCGCACTTGAGTTACTAGTCGTGTCAAAACTTACTTTTCTCTCTTGAGTTACTAGTCTTGTCAAAACTTTCTTTTCTTCTCTTCTAACCTGAAATACACGGCCTATTTTTCCTCACATGAATCGAGTACGTGTTGTGTTAACATACAACTGACTTATAACTTTAGCTGAAACTTCTGCACTCGTACCTACGATAGATGATATCGATATTGAAAACTTTTCGGAGTCTAGCTCCATCATCAGTTCGACTTTTGATGATCAGTAACAGCCTGTCTAGATTAACGACCGATTCACTACGGTTGCGTGACAATCATTTCGCCCTGGGTATTTCCAGCAAGCCTGTAAAACGCTCACTAATGTATTTTAGTTTACCGCTAAATGAATCAAATGTTTCATTGACTTTCTTGGTGTCACTACTCAGTCGTTGGCGTAAAGTCATCTAACCAGCAAGCTTGATCGCACGTTAAGAAAATAAAATTTTTCCTTCATCTGAGTGCGACATATTTTCTAGTTTCACATTTTTCATTCACATTCTGCCGGTCTTTCATATTCTGCGAGATAAAATTAATTTCCTTGTACCTGTGGTGATGGAAGTTACCCGTACTTTGTACTAGGTCATTAATGATGAGATACTTTGGAGTGTAAAAGCCCTAGAACTCGAAGCAGGCTAACTAGTTTCATAACCACTGATACTTGATAGTTATAAGGTCGTTGGGCTGGTCGCAAGTGTCCGTCATGTCGCGTTTCTTTGCCGCAGCCCCCGCAGTTCACTCCGTCGGTTCAGGCCCGTCAGGCGTCGGCCTTCAACGCCCCGCCACCTACCGCAGCGCCCGCCGCCCCGCCCGCCATCAGCAGCGGCCAACCAAGCGCTTTCTACCAGCCCGCGCAGCAGCCGCAGACCTTCGCCCCGCCGCCGGTAAATTACTTTATTTATTATTTATTTATTATTATTTTTTATTATTATTTTTTACTCACTCTACCATCAAGTTCCTTCTCATCATCCTTACAGGATAATTTAACAGCATAACATCACATTTATAATGTTTTAAATATTATATGTTAACAGCATAATTTCTCATTAATAATGTTTTGAATATTTTCAAGACTGCTCCGGTAAGTTTTTTTAGAGGAAGACGCAAGTTTGTAATAATTTAATTCGTAATATCACTAAAATTACGTAAAATTAATCTGTTTATTAAATCGAATAGTATTTTGAAGCAGACATACATGGAGACTCGTCAGGGAAGTTAGTTACGGTCTACTAATTTACAGCCTGCGACCGGCGGCCACCAGTACGGCGGCTACCAGGCGCACCCTCCGCCCCCCGCCGCCGCTGCCCTCCCCCCACCCGCGCCTCCTGCCGCCTCTGTCACTGCACCTGGAGGTGAACTTTTGGTCTACCATCGCGTTATTTCATCATGTTCTACCATCGCGTTATTTCATCACGTTCTACCATCGCGTTATTGTCAATTATAGGCGTGATGACAACCCGGATGGCGTCCATTGATGCCATCCGTCAATCAATTTGTGACAATTATGCTAAAATCAACGAATATTTTTGAAGAAGCGAATTTCAATGCTTTGGGGACCATGATTTCCATGTACTTCCGGTGTGATTTATTCTGAATTTATATATTTTAGTTATAAATATTTAGTAGTGAAGTGAAACATTATAATGCAGGTTTCCATTTCTGCACCACACTTGTGTTCTTATGCTATGTCTTTAAAGCGAACTAACTAGTATATAACTATAGATAACAAATCAAGCAGCGCTGCAATTTTGACTAACTCAGTGCCGCTCGTGAAGGCCTGCATGCACAACTGTTGAGCCCGAATATTTCTAATGCAAGTAGCGAGCCCAGCATCATTGCTCGTAGTGTGCAATTGCCTAACAACGTCTAGATTTTATTGTTCTTATCGACCCTTAACTATGAAATGGAACCTTAATTACATTGAATATCAGTAGGTGTATTGCGAGCTAATTTCTCAAACATGGAACTAAGCACGGCCTTGCGGGTGAGAATGAACCTCAGGCGTTCTATACTTCATTCATAGAGCGTTCGTGCGAAATTTGTCCATAACGCACGTGTAAACTTTTCTATGAAGTACGAAAATTATGCCCATATGGGATTTCATTTCTGTACTTACTACTTAATTATGCTTCATTCCATAATTAAGGGATATACTTGGGACTATTAAAGAATCGTAAGGCTTGAATATTTACCAGACAGCACCAAATGAAAGTAAAATTTCTCACTTTTTCTCCAAATGAGTTTAAATATTGGTAATGCAAATAACTGCAATAGTTCCTCTCTTGACCAAAATTGTGAAATTGCAACGTCTAAGTAAATCTCCACCTGCCTACGCATTGCCGAACCATCACAATTCAAGTTCTTACATCTCAGAACTATAATGTGATTGTTTTCGTCAGTCTTTCTCAACTGGTCATCAAAGTCTCATTGTAGTTGCGGCTCATTTCCTCACCATATTTGCTCATACAAACTCACCTTTTAATTATTTAACAATCTTAATAATTAAAAATGTGATATATAGTTGTTTAAATGTGTTTGTACTCTGCATCCTATACTTAAGGCAATAACTATTGACCATGTACGTGACATTGACGTTTGGGCATAGCGCATTGTAGCTGTTCAGCAGAGCGGCATGAAGAATTGTGTGAATATTGAGCGCTAGAATGCCATGTTTCGTTATTATAATGCCATTATTTATCACCAGAATGTCACTATTTTATCACCAGAATGTCATTATTTTATCATCAGAATGCCACCATTCATCACCAGAATGCCATTATTTTATCATCAGAATGCCATCATTTATCACCAGAATGCCATTATTTTATCATCAGAATGCCACCATTTATCACCAGAATGCCACCATTTATCTCCAGAATGCCATCATTTATCACCAGAATGCCATCATTTATCACCAGAATGCCATCATTTATCACCAGAATGCCATTATTTTATCACCAGAATGCCATCATTTATCACCAGAATGCCATTATTTTATCATCAGAATGCCATCATTTATCACCAGAATGCCATTATTTTATCATCAGAATGCCACCATTTATCACCAGAATGCCACCATTTATCACCAGAATGCCACCATTTATCACCAGAATGCCACCATTTATCACCAGAATGCCACCATTTATCACCAGAATGCCAGCATTTATCACCAGAATGCCATGTCTTGCATCTTGCTCTGACTGCCACTAACGCACGCAGGCCTAAGGAGACCAGGCGCTGGCGCCCGCTACGTCTCAACCGCCGTCAACTCAACCCCAGCTTACCAAAACAACCCCGCGGCCTTCCAACCCACACCTGCATTCCAACCTCCCTCTGCTGCTGCTCCATTCCAACCCGTACCCTCTCAACCATTCCAACCCGTAACCTCTCAACCTTTCCAACCCATCCCTACTTCGTCTTCTTTCTTGGACCCTAACCCCTCTTACCCCTCCTCTCTAGTCCCTGCCCCTCCTCCCCACGCAGCAGGGGACCCTATACCCTACGGGGTTGACGCGGCAGCCCAACCAACCGAACCCCCCAAGCCACCCGCCGCCTACAACCCAACCGTGCCGCGCGGTTGGAACGACCCGCCTCCCATGTCAGCCTCCAGGCGGGTAAGCTGACTCCTTTGGTCTCTATGGACCTAGGTAGAATATTACAATAATGGTGAAAATGTTTTAATTTCTCAACTGACACATTGACATTGCGGATGTTTGATTCACAGGCGTGATTATCGGTACAATGTTGTTCTTAAGTTGGATTTCTTTTGGTTTCCATTTAACTTCAATCACTTCCAGCGTACAATATTTTGGTTTCTCGACCTTTTTTTATGATCGACCGTTTAAAAGTATAAATTTTGTTTATCTTTAATGGCAATGATTTTTTTACTAGGCTAGGTAAATTCTGGACCTGCAGTAGGTACCTACATCTGAACTAGAGTTTCCTACCATTAATAAGACTCAAGTCAACAAATGAATGTTCTTTATAACTTCTATTTTCATGCTGTTTAAATCTCTTATTTCTGCGCTGTAGATCTTTATATCGTCTTAACATTACCGCAGGTTTTTAACGGGTTAGCTCCACATTTCCATTACAGCTTCTAATTCTCTTCATTATTACATGAGAAGTTATAAAAGCATTCAAAGTTCAAAGCATAGCTCATACCAAATGATCACTTTAGGCCGTATCTCCATTGCCATCGTAGGTGCTAACGCCGTTACTCTTTGTAAGCGGCCTTATATTATAAATTTTCTATTGTTTTCCGCAGTCTCTAATTTTAGTTTTTCAACTATTGCGTTTAGGGCTGAACACTTGCGTAAATTTAAGTCGGTATAACAACTGCGCAGGAGGGCGGAAGTTTACTTACGCTGCCGCCAGGTGTCGCTGAGCACTCCGGTGCCAGACGCCTGCACAACCTCAAGGTTCGGTAACCTGGCGATGTCAAGCTACTCGTGGGAATGGCTTGCCCTGACTAACTAACGATCTTTTTATGCCCTGTGGGCTGTAATAACTGCAACTTTTGTCCGTCATGGCATGCTTTTGCGCGATTTGCTTACGGCGATTCTTTGATAACTAGTCCTTCTATTATAGTCTTCGGCATTGTGACCGTAGTAGCCACCACGCTCCTGGTTACTACGTGGAGTATATAACGAATGACGTTACCTTTTTTTACTCCATTAGATTTTCCATTACATAAAAAATTTATTGTTAGGCAGTGCGGAGTAATCTTCTGTTTTTATATTATTTCGTTTGGCCACAATTATACGAGGCTGCGATGCTTGTCATTCATCGTTCGGTTAACATTTCCACTCTACCATATTGTTATGCACAATATCGCAAAGTGTGTAAAATGATAATAAGGAAAAAGTCAGAGACTTGAAACAATGCAGCAGTTTCTTTCCTAGTCTGAAGTGTGCGTGCTGCCCTTCATTTTTTGTCCTAATTCTGGGGCATGGAAGTTCCAAAAAGTAACCGTAAAACTCCAAGAACACAAGAATATTATTCCCGCCGATGGCTACTACAAAAACTCCTGAGCAATGTATACTGGTGTAAAATTGTAATTGCATTTTGCAGCACTCTAATTTTGATTCGTTAATAATAATTGCAAATTAGTTCCTAAACGTCGGCGTTGAAGTGGAGATTTTATTAAAAATCTTTCGAATTTTTCGCATTAGCGCCATTACAAATTTCATTATTATTATTAACTCACTAATAAATAATCATTTATTCCCCATCATCGTGTGCACAGCAAGCATTCTTACAGCTTTTAAATTCTTAGTAGAGCTTCCTAAAAATTCTTATTATATTTAGTGAGAACGCTATTTGAAGTCCAATAAAACGAAAAATTGTCACTTTTCAAGAGATATCGCATTTGAACTATTTACAAAGGTCGACTGCACGAAATAAATGCTATGCATGTTTTTTTCACTTCGATAACTGTCGCGTTTGACTTTTTTGTGGAGTTTTTCTCAGTTTTATGCCTTGAAATGCTCTTAATTAATATCTACGAGGGGCTTCCGAGAGTTCGCGGAAAATGGTCATTACTAAAAATTCTATGAAGAGAATATGTGGCCAATGCACCAGAACGATCTTTAATCAATATTTTGTTACGTGTTCTCTCATGGACCCTTAAATTAATGTTACAAGCGCGGGACGCAAAGCAACTGTTCATGCAACATGGCTTTTGCCGAAATCTAGGCCAGATCCTAACATCAAATTCATGTTGAAGCTTGGGTGGAAGAACAGCTGAATTATTGACTCTCTAAGATAAATTTATGGTGACAGTGCCTCAAAAAAAGTAAGCAACCTAAAAATAGATCAGTCGTTCCAAAAGCGAAAGAAATGAGACCAAAGATGGCAACTGCAGAGACAGGCCACGCAAATAAGTTTTTGAGGAAAGCTTTGATGCTGCTCGTGATCTAATTGGAAAAGATAGGCGAATAACCACCAAATCAGCAGCAGACATCTTCAACATCTCTGTGGGTTGCGCACACCCAATTCTGGTGGGTATTTTGGGACAAAGCAAGCTCACCGCTCTATGGGTTTCAAGACTGTTGCGCCCAGATCAAAAGGAATCAAGGGCTGATCTTTCTATGAAAATTATGAATAAGTGGGATGAAAACTCTGAACTTTTTCTTACGCAAATGGCTACTGAGGATGAAACATGGCTCTACAAGTACAATCCCGCGGACAAATCTCCTGCGGCTGTTCAAGGGAGGAAGTGGGCCCATCAAAGAAGAAAAGGAGGTTTTCTGGAATGGATAGGGGATCTTGTTAGTTGATTTTCCGCGAGAACAAGAAAAATATTAGAGATTTTTATTATAAAAGATTTTGATAGTTTTTATTTCCAGACCTGAAAAAAATAATTCAAATGTACCCTGTTTCCTTCAATTGAAGCAGCAAAACACTGCAAAAGCATGCTTCATATAGCATGACTCTAAATTTTAACGCAGATGGACTTAATGACTAGTATCAACGTTCACAGACATGTATTGAAATAAATAGAGCATATTATGAAAACAAACCTTATGCCTTGAATAGTTTTTTCTTCAAACTTGTTTTTCCACGAACTTTTTGAAGCCCTTTCGTAGTGCTAACTACAAATAAAATGCTACAATGATACCGTTCCTGTATGATGCCGCAAGTTGTTTTTACATGTCATAGCGAGTTCTAACATATGATTATTTGATAAGTGAATGAACGAAGAGCCGAAATAGAGGAATTTTTGTAAAAATTGTGTGAGTGTGATTAATGTCTTCGTGGGAAGTGTAAATAATACTAGGGCTTATTTACGCCATGTTCATCTTGTCTGGTCGCTGTTGTTGTGGTGAGGCGTTGAATCATCCATGCTCATGTGTTTATCTTGCGCGGCTATTCGATCCGATGTCACTGTAGAGAAAATATCCTGATGCTTTGGAATTCCACTCCAAGAAATGCATTGCAAAGTATTCTCTTAAAATGCCAGTTTGTAGAACTTTGCTCTAACAATGCCCAGTAGACTTACCCTCATGTTTTCGTTTGAACATCAGTTGACGTTAAATTTGGCGGATCAACTTGTGTGAATCAAATAATAAAGGTTGCAGTATATTAAATTTCCCTCACAACGAGAAATTTAGTTCCCTTTGTTCATAATGCAGGAATGTTTTTACGAAATTCTCCCGCACTCGACTAAAGAAAAAGTACGAATTTGTTTTCTACTGTGATTGAAAAAAATGCCCTCATTTGCAGGCAAAGCAGCAGCAGCAGCAGCCGCCGCCGCAGAGCAGCCCTGCGCCCAGCATGATGGTGCCCGCTCAAGCGACGCCTCCACCTCCCGCCACGGGATTCCAGGTACTCTTTAGTGCGGTGCCTTCCTTGCCTCACAATGTACCACGCCACAATAATATGTTATCATTGACATATACTATGAGTAAAATGAATCATTAATAAACCAGTTACCGTCCTCCACCACCTTTGAAAAATAAAAAAAAAATTACTCCCAAGTTTAGCAATTTAGAGCGATTAGCACACGTTAGATTCTTAACCTTCAAGTTGAGTATTTTTCATCAACGCAGTTAAGGGACTGTAACACGTCAAAACTATTTGTTTCAGATTAATGACTGATAAACTGGAATGCTTGATAAAAAACAATTTAGAGGGTGAGTCTAGAACTAGATCATTACTGCATTTTTCCTGTGATTGTGGCGTGGGATGATTGTGGTTTTGGTATCGTCTTTGAGATCGACTTGGTATTTGTATTTGTTCCAGTTGATGAGTAAACTGAGCTTGAAAAGAACAACGCTTGAAGCTGAAACTACGAATGTCGCGAGACTCTTGACAGATTTTACATTAATTCGCACTTGACACAAAATTAGAACAACGGGTTGTGCTGATGGCAGCAGTATGAAAGCCTCATCACACTATCTGGCAGTGATTGATTTTTATACTTTAAGAAGTTTCTGACTAGGATTTTTAACCACAACACTCGCCTTAGTTTTGTCGCTGGTAATTACCCAAGTTTTACGTCACAAAGCCTCGTTGTTCCATTACTTGATTCCCTCGGTCAAATGGGTAACAAAACTGCCTGGCTATCACTTGCATGGCCCGGGTTCAATGCCCGGCACTGATGTGTTGACACGAGCGTGGCAGTGGACAGAGCCGTCGTATAATTATATGAAGATTGCGTCGACGGCAACTGCCGTTCTCTAGGCTTTCCTTGAATGATATCGACTATCCTAAACCACGTCCTCGGCAGGGCTTTCAAGGTTTCGCGCCCCAGGGCCCCCCTAGCGGGTTTGGTGCCCCTCCTCCCTCCTCGTCGCAAGGAATGAACGCTCAGCAGAGCACAAGTCCTCTTCTGCCCCCAGTGGCGCCTCTGCCTCTTCCTGCTGAGGCTCAGGGCATCTATAACGTCCTCAACGGCCTCTATACTCGGGGATTGGCGGCAGCTCCCAACATGGTGGGTTCTCGTGCTAGACCAAAAAAGTTTATAGTTGGCAATTAAGAATATGCAATTCTTCATTAAAAACTTCGCACTACTGTTAATCAGAGGGAGCGGACATACATTAAATGAAATTATCAGTTATAAAATGCAAGAGCGCCATCCAATCCAGGATTCGCAGAGCAGGTCAGTGGATTTTTAACAATTTTACGCATATTATTTTACTTTGTCACTTTTCGTTGTAGACTAACTTTATATTGACAAGTTTCTCTTTTCATCTCCTAAAATAACTAGAATAAATAATTCCTTGTTTTTTATCAGATGATTCGCCAGACGTACGATAGTGTTGGGCCCAAGTTAGAGATCCTCTACGAGAAGCTACGAAGTAGACAGGCAAGTGGACCCGATCATATTTGTCATTTATTTGATAGAAATTGGCAAAAACCTGCGATTGCGTATGAGCTAGGATGAATCATGTTACTGGTGATATAGTATTAATATACATCAAATACCTACAAATGACTGAATACTAATAATAATGGCCCTATACAAGAAATATAGTGCTGAGGTAGCGGAACTTAGATCACAATTAGTTCAGATCTGACAAAATGAAGTGGGAGGCATTTTAGATGTTCCAGACATGGTTATCTTGAAGATGTTTATCTAAAGTTTACTAGAGGCACAAACAATTAAATATCCTTTGTGTATGCAGGTTGGCGCAACAACGATGCAGGGATTGCATTCTTTGTGTTCTTGCGTCGAGGCCGGCGATTATCATCAAGCTCTGCAGGCGCACTCGCAAACAGTCTCGGCGGGCAACTTTGCAGAGATGTCACCGTTCATGCCGGCTGTAAAGAAGCTCTTGACCACCAGCATGCAGTGCCAGATCTTCCTCAACTGAAGCTTTCTCATCGCGCCTTTGTTCTACAATATTTCTTAGTGCTGTGGCTACCAGCACCGCGGTTTAGGCTATGATTGACTGCATCGCTTTCTCCCTACGCTTCTCGCTGGAAGATTGTCGCCCACGCAAAACTGCGCAGTGTTTCATTTTTTCAACTTTCATCTTGCGTTTCAGTTCATGCTGAACTTCAAAAAAATGTTGTTCTAGGCTTAATCTCCAACCTGCCTTAGATCAGTTTAAAAAAAATATAGTTTCAAAAAATCTCTTTTTGAGGTCTCTTTGTAACGTATCGTAATGACTTATTATTAGCCTTTTTGGAAGTAGTACTTTCACCTATTGGGATGTCTTATATCTATGTTCTAATGCAGTTTGGTTTCTTCATATCCTCTGAATATCATAAATAACGACAGAACAAATTCCTTGGTGTTAGCACCTAAGGAGATGGTGCATCATCTGGAGTCAAGACTCGAGAAATTTACCCGAGATATTTAACAATGCTAAGTAATGGTAAAATATATTTTCGGCGGAGAAATTTATTCAATAAAATCTTATAATACGCAATATTTTTCATTGCAAAATTTCTTTGTGAAGTTACTCATAGAACAAAAAAAAATGACAAAAATAGAGCCAGATTAACAGTAAGTTATATTGAAAACATCTCGCTGCATCGGTCGTTCCACTCACTTATTCCATTCACCGGCTAGTCGGTATCCATTTGATCTCCACTCTGAAATTAGAGAATTCAAAGATTTCAACGTTGTATTCATTCAACAAATTTGCAACTGACAAAGTATCTTCATTTCCACGAATTTAATCATGTACTTGCGAATTTCATAATGTACTGAACTACCTGTGGTAATTTAGTTGAATCGAATTCCTCAAATTTAATCTTCTGGCAACAAATTTTCATTGAAACTCAGAGATCCTTACCGGAGCGGGAGCATCCCCAGCCGGTTGATCTGCAGAAGGAGGTGCATCCTCAGACTCGTCTTCATCGTCCTTTGCAGCAGCCCCTCCTCTCCGCTCCTCCTGGTCGAGACCTTCAAGGTACGGCGCCACGCGATCGTCATCAAATATTTGAAGGTCCTCTCCCTCGCCCACCACAGCCAGGCTGCAGTTCTGCTCATGGAATCGAGGGGAAAGTTACCTGTCGATATGGAGTCTGAATTATCGTGTATTCACTTATACGATAAGTATGTATCACCTTTCGTTCTTCGTTGAAAAGCAAGCTTCGTTTGAAACCAAAATAGGATTTCACATACGACGACCAAGGAATTGCTACCATATCAAGTGAAAGAATTAGACCAAGGACCATGAGTGTGCCACAACCTAAGCGCAAAGTTAAGGTGGCGGGAACAGAAGGTTTTAAGAAAAATATCCAGCGCGAGTTAATATATTCGTTCGCTGAAAAATTCCGACGGTTGCGAGAACATGTCCCATAACGCACCGAACGCAAGTCAGACAATAGGTCACTATTTAACTATAGAGTAAACACAACACATTAACTTCACTGCTTGAAGCAGCACTCGAGGCCCTCGACATTTGTACGGGGAGCCTCCTTCGGGATTTCAGCTAGCACAAAGATTGTACAGTGATCCAAGTTCACAAATTGCATGAAACGTAAGTTCGCTTCGAAATTTAATCATCTAAAGATAAAGATTGCATAAAACATATATATCGGTAGATTGCATAAAATATTCGCCTATATAAAATAAAGGCGAATAAAATAGATTATCCTAAGCCCTTTCATAATGTGTATATCGGATGGATGATGACAAGGTGTTCTACCAATGAAGACCACTACGTGCTTCAGCCCAAGCGATTTCACAGTCTCTTTTCAACATACGAAAGAGATAAATAAGTAACGACGGATAGAGTACAATAAAATGGACTCCCACAATATGTGAAGCCCATGAAACGACTTAGTTCTCTATTTAAGAGCGGTCATACTGGAATGAAACTCAAGACATTTTTGTTCCTAGAAATAAATGTCAGGAGTTGATACAGTTCATTCAACACGTGAAATACCGAAAAATATACCTTGAATTTTCATAGTTGCCGATCAATATTCTATATTCACGTAAGGGGGAGAAAGCCCGAAAAGAAGGAGTTAATTAGGCGGTTTATTTTTCGAACACAGTTTCAAGTTCTTCATAAAGGAAAGAGTTACTACAACCTGTTAGGTTATTTATCGTAATCTGGTTATACGATTAAAGAAAAAGTGAAATACGAGTCTCGTATTGATATAAGCAAAACATCTCACCAAGAAAATTGGCAAGCAATAAAGAATTCCGTTATGTTATCCATTCCTTCATTCAACTATATATAAAAATAACAGTTCTCGTTCTGTCAGAGCACAAAATCAGCTAACAACACCAAGACGCGTCTGCCAACTAACCTTGCTTGTAAGCTCTACATCGTTAGGCAGAGTATCCCTGAGCGCTCTGAGAGCATGGCGCACTAGCTGCTCTCGGGTGCAGTCTTCTAGCTCGTCTAGGTGACGCTCCAGGTAAGTTCTTGAGCTCTGAGATCTGGCGCCTATGGCCATGGAGCGGCACTCGTAATAATTAGCAGAGGGGCAGGTCTGGTAGATGTGAGGTCCGTCCTCATCATAGCCAGCCAAGAGTAGCCCCACGCCGTACGGGCGCTTGTCGTAGCGCTGGGTAGCCACCTGCTCAGGTAGAATCACGGGTGAGCGTTATGAAGGCTGCTGCACCTCCTTACGAATTTGCATTGGATAGATTTACATTGCTCGCCACAAATATCAATTTTTCAATCTCTTCCTATACTAGGCAGTTTCCACATGATATAATGTTAGTAATGCTAATAAAAATGCCAAAAAACACACAACTAGAGGCAAAATTGTATAGAAGTAAAACATGGCAATGAACTGCACACATTAACGTCACTCACGTCTGTTCAACTGGCAATGAAACGCAAGTAATAAGGCAACATTTTGGACATTCTGGAGTTTTGAATGCTAAGCGTTAGAATGTTTATTCAAGCGAGCAGTTCAGTACATTTGAAAAAATATTTCATAAATCTGTCATTATACCCGAAATTAGAACGAAGCAGGCCTTGCAGGATGTTTGTGAGCAAAAACAAGACCATAAAATGTCTACCACTGAACACTGATCAAATTGCACACCATCTACACTTGACAAAAACATTAATTGTAAAAAAAACTAGAAAACAGCAGACGCTCACCTGCATTTTGGCCCCCACTCTCTCCATGAGCTTCTGTAAGCTGAGCGGCTGGTCGTGCGCGTATCGCTCGTTGAGGCACTCGAGGCGCATGAATCGTGACAACACGCGGGCGTCGGCCGTCAAACCTACCATAAAGTCAATGCATTAAGTTCCTGCAAGTCAACTTTACTAGTTGGAGCAATTAAATGCAGGCAGTCAAAACTAAAATAATTCGCAAGTGTACGATAATAACATTAGTTATTTCAAACCTAACATAAAAGGAAATAATAACTAGTGGAATTTCCCAACATAACATAGACAATTATTAACAAGTCGGCTAATTATTTGTACAATTTCTAAGGACTATGACATTTTATACTGCACATAATCGATTACATGATCTGCACATTCTTTAGAATAGATGATCTATTTTATGAGCATGAACAGTACAATATTGTCCCCCAAAACATTCTAGAACGTTCTATTGAAGGACTGACTTGTAAGTATTGTCAACCCATGAGGCAACATACCTGATATAGAAATAGCTATGTGAGCATCTATGGGTAGAATTTTCTTCTGATGTGCAGCAAGTTCTGAAGAAGCTCTCTTGAGGGCGGCTAGCACAGCATGAGTTTTGTTCTTGACACCAACAGTGGCAGAGCCTTGCTTCACTGCCTCCATTGCATACTCCACCTAAACAATTGGAGTAAAACAAGGTTAGAAATGTCACTGAAAACGTCATTCACTATAACGAATGAAATTGAACACAAGACTACTAATTATTTCCATAATCAAAATTTAACAAATATTTACAACTTCAAGTAGGTGGATATGTTGTGTCAAGCAAAAAAAAAGTAAATATTCATAACATCAGGCATCCAAGGTAGATAGACACCATATGAATAACTTGAATAATAAATATACATGTCCAATAATAGAAAATTATTAGAAGACGCATCCTAGGCTTGCAGGATCCTTCCAACATTTTAAATACATCAATCATTGAAGTTCATAAAAAGAAAATTTGATCTCCTTAATCACAAATTAAAAAGCATTAAAAAGATAAGGAAATAGCACAAAATTTTCTTTATCTTCATTGAAAGCATATTTTTCACAGTAAAACTGACAGTGGAGGAGGACTTGAACAATTTAAATCAAGATACAAAGAGTTTTTGAGCCTTCTTGTTGGCTTTCAAATTTGTGTTGAAGTCGTCAAGTCTTTCAACTTTATTCATGATTCAGAAAATTGTAGCAAATGGCTAGATAGATTGAAAATTCATCTCTTCATTATTCTAATCATTTGGCTGGGCAAAGCAACATCTAAATAGAGTCAACCTTAGCATGATATACATAACATTTATGCCATCTGAAATGAGAAGCTTCTCAACAAGGTGAACCAAATTATTCAGCACATTAAAAAAAAAAACATACAGAATTGCCGATATCAGGGTTGGTGATTCTTTTGATTTTTTTTTTAAATTAAAAAAAAAAATCAATTATTTATTTTATTTTTTCATTTAATTGATTTTTAGATTTTTTCAGTTTTTTTGCCTTTTTTGAAAAGTTTTTTTTTTATGTTGCAATTAGCCTACTAACAACAGTATATGGATCATACTGGATGGCTAAAAGGGCACTTATTGCCTTCAATAATGGCCAACTGGCCAAGGTGGTGTTTACCACTTTGGGATTTTTGGGTAAACAATTATTGATAAGTCTATTTTTTAGTCTTGTAAAGTTTGTATGGAGCAAGGTAAGAAGCAAAATATTGACCATTTAACTGGCTTCAATATACAAAAACACTTCAGGAATGTGGATCTTCTAAACATTGAAGAGTCGCACAACAGTAACAGATAGCTGATAGCACAGTGCGCAGCAGACAACACTATCAATAAATTTACTAGTTTTAGGTCCTATAAATCTACCAGACTCTACCCTCTAAACACACCAACCAGTAGTGACTGAGTGACTGACTGCACTGTTCCCATTCAATTCAGACCAATAAATCAATACTAAACATAAACTGAATGATAACCAAACAAACCTCATACGACTTGAAACGAGACTTAAGTTATGGGAAAAGCTAACACTTTGAAATAAAAATGTGCACAATTCAAACATTTTATTTCCATTCACTGCATTTAATTATTTTATATATGTAGTTTTATAATTGTAATTGTTTTATTTCTAGTTTTAAATTCACATATTTAAAGATTGAAATCAAATATTTTAATTAGAATACTCATATTTGGGTGGAAAATATTTCTAATTGCCTAAAAGGTCAATACAATCTCAACCTCTCAATATACAAGGTGGTGCAGAACTGATTGAGCAGTTTTGAGGCAAAATAAAAGAGTAATGGAGGTACCTACATAAAGAAGAGTTTATTTTCCTAGAGGTTAGTATAACATACCATTTTAGAATACTTATATGTTTAGAAAACAATATCTGGAAGATGGGGGCCGTTAGCTGCAAGCCCGCAACACACTGTTGCAGTTGTTCTCAGAGGAGGGAGTAACCGTGACAATTCCAATCGCTATGCTGCAATGTTGCAAAATTTCTTGCAGCCCAGGATGGAAAACATTGTTGAAAATGAAGCATCGGGAGATGTGTGATTCCAGCAGGATGGGGCTACAGCTCACACAGCCAGAATATCACTCAATGTTCTGAAATGCATGTTTCCCGGAGGTCTGGTGTCTCTGAGGGATGATTTACAGTGGCCTGCGAGGTCACCTGATTTGAGCATTTGCAATTTCTTTCTTTGGGGACATCTAAAACTAAAAGAGAGGGTGTCCAGAAGTCGTCCTCACACCCTACCACGCAGCTAAGGGAATGGATTATTGCAGAGATTACGGCCATACCTTGCCATATGTGTGAACATGCTGTAGGAAACTTCCAGGAATGACTCCAACAGTGTGATGCAGCTAACAGACACAATCTTTCTGATATTGTTTTCAAAACATAAGTATTTTAAATGGTATGTTATGCTAATCTTGAGGAAAATAAACTTTCTTCTTCATGTACCTCCATTACTCTTTTATTTTGCCTCGAAACTGCTCAATCGGTTCTGCCCCACCCTGTATAAGCTAGCTAACACATTTAAATTGTATATTTTAATCAATATATAACAAATAGTCAAATAGTTAAAGCCTACTTATAGCCCTATAGGAATTAGCTAAGCTGCTAGCTATGTACAATGTATTGCAACACTTGATGCCTCTGTACCAAAAACATTGAATTTATTGGAACCTAATACACACTGAAGGCAACAAGTTTATATACCAATTTGTCATTTATAGTACATTTATACTAAACCATGAATAACAATACCTCAAAATAAATTAACGACTGCCACTCAATATATTTAAATATATAAAAAAATCAAATGATTTAATCACATGATTTAATCGTTGTCAACCCTGGCCAAAATGTTTCTTACATGCAAATGAGTTTCACTCACTGTCCAGCTAAATTGCATGGCAACTGAAGTGAAAATGTTTGAATTTGTTTTTGAAATTGTGCTTTGCAAATTATTACAAAGAATAACGGTTCACACAATTCCTGTATCATGAAAATAATAACATCAACACGTTGACTATGATTGCTTCATCTTGTACTACTATTTCATTTTTTGTACTTTTTTTAAGCAGGGTTGCCAGACGGTCATTTTTTCCGGACAAATTCCGTGATTGTTTTTCTCAATTGCGGTGGCCGGCTAAAATTTATGATAGGGGTACATCCTAATCAAATTTTAAATGCTGCAAAAAGAAAATAAATGGAATTTTTATAGCAGAACCTACAAATAAACTAGTATACATTGAATTATCGGCCTTTTTTGGCATTTCTGTTCTCGGATTTGGCCGATTTTAGGCAACCTGAATTATGTACCACTACCTCCTGGAGAAATACATTTCGTGGTACACATATGTACCAATATGTAGTCAATGTGTTAAATAACATGCTACATCATAAATAACTAACAGGGGTTAAATAAAACAAGGGAAATGCCTAACATTTGGAGAACACAATTTTTTAATGCATTATAATCTATAAACAATAAAACTTGACATTTTTTATTCTTTTATTGTTTAATATTATGGCTTATTAACATTTTATTCTTTTACTGATATTTTTAGAAAATTTCTTCAGCTGTAACCTTATAAAAATTCCATATCTCTCTGACTTTCAAAGAGGCCAACTTGTTGGTGCTCAAATGGCAGGTGCTAGTCACACACTAACAATTCAAAATTGGCATGAATTAATAAATTGGAGAATTTAAGCAGTAATTGCAGCAAAATGTGAGCCCACACCATACTAAAATATATTTTGTAGATTTTTAAGCATTTTCAATATTTTATCCAACCCCTTTATGTGTCAGATGGATGGGCTACCTGACTATGCCAAACACCATCATGAAAACAAACCTTTTTCAAAAATCAAATTTTACCAATATTCAAGAGATTTACAGCCTTCCAACACAAACCTTACAAAATTAAGTTTTGTCACTATATGATAAAGTGGAATTATGGATGCTATTTGTAATACCATAACATTCTCTTGTCATAAAATAATAATACCTACAAGTTGACAGAAATAAAATCCAAGTGTTAAGAGTTTTAGTAGCCTCACCTGGTGGAGCCTTCCTTGCGGTGACCAGATTGTGACGTCATTATCATACTGGTTTCGAAACTGAAAAAATAACAATTGTTAGCTAAGCTGATCATACAGAGACTTTTCAACATGAAATCAATTAGTTGACAATCAGGTTTTGATTCATCATAGTGGCAAATGAGTGATTTTTAATACTTTAAGTTCATTTCCAATGGCAGTAAATATGGGCTGCCTATACACTCATTGGAAAGGTCAACAAAAAATTTTGTTTGCTATGCAAATCATAAAAGTGCCATTAAACAGGGTAATAAGGGACAATTTTGAGCATTTTGAGCAATAAATATTATGAGCAATAACTTCTTACCATGTAACATTTCATAAACGAATTTGGGCTCATTGGGGCTATTGTATGGCATCTGCAAAAAATTCCATACCGGTATTCTTTTTCTAAGGTGCTAGATGCAAAAGAAAAACATCCCAAATTACCCCTGGGAACAGAGTAATTCAGGAACCTTTAAAATAAAACTTAATTTTAAAACATTTGAAGCATGCAGACGGTACTCTTCCATCACTAACAGTGCTCCTAAGTCCTCCTCTTCCTTTGTAGATGATGTAAATGAATTTTCTGTGATTTGTACTTGAGTCAGGGTGCAGAAAGTGAGTGAATATTGCAAGATCTTTGGCAACGCATCAGCAGCAAAATTTACACCTTCACAAAATCTTGCCAACACATTTGTTTTGAAATTATTGCATTTTTTGTATTCACCATCCTTTGGCCAACTATTTAGAAAATAGTTGAAAATCTAAAAGACCGCAAGCGCACACAGTAAGGTTTCCAGTACGTTGGATGGATCAGGATACAGTGAGTGAAGCTTGTCCGGAAATCCGTTGCGATGAGTGTAAGTGTTGCAGTGCATGGAGAGTAAGGGATATACTATCAAAGTTGTTAGCAGCATTTTCTTATTAAAAATTACCCGGCAAAGCATCATGAAAATGGCTGGCAACATTTTAGGCTAAAAATCCAGATGTTGGTGAAGCAGCTTGCAAACTCTTCACCCTGGCCATTGAGCATAGAAAACAACCTTGTGTACTGCAAGCTTCATATCAGCAGCCATAGGTATAGCATTTCTTCTGTATCAGTAAGCTTACAGAACTGGAATTGTAATTTTGCATCATTTTAATTGGGTCATGGGAATTCACTATATCAAAAAAAAAAAAAAGATCATAAAAAACATACCAAGTAATATTTTAGTAACAACCATCATTTTTTAGAGAAATAAATCATAGTTAAGATTAATTAATTTTCATTCTAATGATTCTATCTTGTGCGCTTGTGCCTGGAGCACAATTCAATTTATGCCATTCAATACACAATTTTGTGATAACAGATGAAACATTAATTTTTTGTCCAGGGAAATTTTTTTGCTGAGAGAGGTAAATGTATCCAAATACTTTGTTGTCAATAGATTTTTTTCCATTAACTGGAGCCTTTTGTAAGAAAGATTCTACTGTAAATGCATTTTTAGGGATTCTCTTATTACCCTGTCATGCAGAAATGGCCGCAATTTTGTTTGGACTGAGGTACAAAAAAAATTCTGTCAGAGAAGTTTCAAAGTTGATACCTATCAGCAGTCATCAACTTTTTTCAAACAAATTTTTTTTATCTGCAAATATTTTTTTCTACTAGGGTAAACGCGGTACATTCCGTCACATTAAGGACGCATCGAGAAATGAAAAACTATAAAAAAAATAACCATATGCATTACTTAAGTTCTGTTTGCTTTATGTGACTCTCAAAACACCTCACTATGTGCCAGCAACGACGAAACATCACAAAATGTTGCCATATTTATTTAAAAGCCTTTAGAATGCAAACATACCAAATCCCTATATTCCATCACTGTGTGTGGCTATATTCGGCATGTGGTGAGGCGTATTCATATTCCGTCTGCGCTTCAAATTCTACTGATACGTAATGCCGTCATCCATGTGTTCGAATTCCGTTCGCTGTGTGAGCTGTATTGGAATACAACACAGCATTGAATTAGAACACTAATGAATATTGAATACTACTTAATTACGCTTTTAATTAACAACTATTAAGCTTTTAATTAAGCAAATTTTAATTTTTGTACACAGCTTGGAACGATCTGTGTGTGTCAATTCAAGTTGTGACGGAATTAGTTTTCATGTGTCTAAATCCATTTCTCAACTTGATCATCTATTAATTTATTTACCACTTGAAATAAGCAAATACAAGGATACTTAAAGGATTCTTAATATATTCAGACGTATTTAAAAGTCTCAAACCATAATATTCTTCCTATACAAGCAGTTATTCACTATTTGGTAGAGCAAGGTCAACTGTCAAATTTGACACATTTTTCGATGATCTCACTGGGTAGCGTGCATTGTCTCTCTTTGGATCTCAATATTTTCCCGCTAGATGGCCAAGACCTAGTGTTTTGGCAGTAGTTTGACGCACAAATGTATGACGTCACCATTTCAACCATCAACGAACGCATGGAACTAAAACAAAGCTTAATATAAAGGAAAAACTAGAGAGGTGACGGAATTACCTACAATGTCGGAATATACCGTGTTTACCCTACAGACCTTAGCACAAGTACTTTTACATATCACTTTTGAATATAATTTCAGACAATTTCAGGGATTTCTTAGAGCTAGCCTAGTAAATGTACGATTTCTTAACTTCCTCTATGGCTCTATGCTAGTACATAGAGAGAAGAAATGCTGAAGTTTACGCCACTATTTTTAGTTTTACAATATTTTAACTAGTTTCTCTGCCATAACATTTTTTCACCATGACAAACAGGCAAAGGACTGTCAATTTACCATGCCCATCCATTACCCCTGTACCACACTCAGGATTATGTATGTTTTCAGGGAATTTTCCCGCGCATTTTGACTTTTTTCAAGCTATTGCAGCGCACAGTTGGTGCAACTTCTGGCCATCCCTGCTTGCACGCGCAAGCGTCGGTGTAGCGCGCACATACATTTTGTCAAGGGACAAGAGACAGAAAATGTATAATACTTAATAATTAATATGCATTAATTATCCATCAATAATCTATGATTTCCTTGATATGGAAATTTTGTGAAAGCAAAAATCTAGAAATTTATTTTTGAAGAAATTTTCTTCAAATTTCTTATACGAACTGGCAAACATCGTTTGTGTTTGTTTACCTACCGTAAACCATCCGGTCCGGACATGAGGCAATATTCAGTCCGGACGTGAGGCAAGTGGTGAATAACCAAGTCCTCAGAAATTGGACATATGAAGTAAACAAATATGAAATATTAGTGTTAAATGACAGATTTTGCTCGTTCTATATATACTATTATTGCGCTGATAGGGTTATTAGAGATTCTACGGTTAATGAAAGGAATCAGAAATAATTTCATAATTGTAATTAATGGGAAAATAGTTTTGAGTGCGAAATCTTTTGTAAATAAAATATGTCCTGACATACGTAACTGTCATCAGAAATTCCCAACATCGTCTTTACATACTTTTACGCAATGCTGCTTCATCGTCATGTGATAATGTCTTGGACAAATTTACGGCCGTACTTGCAGCTGGACTCTGCCTGAAATTTCTCCAAAAGTACTGAACGTAGTTCAATAAAACTTGGTACCGTAAAATGGGGTAACTTTGACCACTTTCTTTTCTTAATGATGCCATTTTTTACTAGATAAGTTAAACTTAAATTGAAACATGCAAAATACAGGTCTATACTCTAGCTTTACTCACCATAAATTGCTGGCTCCTGCCTCTCATAGTTTTGATGTAATTTAAAAAAAAGTG